AATGAGATAATGTTAGACTATCATTGTGAGAATCTAAGGTCACTGATCCGAAAAAAATATTACCATTCTTTTGTTTGCGGTCAGCAGCCAAATACCAGATGTGTGTTTCATGAATACTGAAATCGGCTAGTTTCACTTACATTCTTTAAGATGAATATGAATACTTCAGGTGAAATGTGAACCAATTAGTAGATGTAGGCGTAGAAACTAATTTAGTCTATCCAGTGATGTGAACTATCAAAAGTTCAATAATTCTGAGAACACTAGATATACTTGGCATGTTATACTAGTTAGTGTTATGACATATGATGTGGTAAATAGTAGTCTGTAATCTAAATTTGAGTATACACTACTGAGATCTCTGAATAGTTAACCTACTTTGATGATAATATACCAGTCATCAGCCTCATTACTAACTGTTAGAAAATCATAGTGTATATTAAAGCGGAGAAAACTTACTTACCAATTACTGATAATAATTCCATACGGTCTTTTGCACTTAAGCGTAGATTTGTTTCCTCTTTGATATCAGCGATAATTTGATGAAAAATTAAATTTAAGATTAGAGTTGTTCGTATACGTTCACTTGGAGTGATAAACTAAGTGTGTGTTCAAATGTACAAAAAGAAAATATTAATAACAGTAAATCGGTTTGTCTAAATACGTATGCAAGATATGAACAAACTAATATAAAAAAATCAGCTGTACACTTGAAGTTAGGTTGAAATTACTGGGATTTCATTAAATTTCATATTCAACAACGTATTGTCAAATAACACTAAGGTTTTCAAATCTACATAGGCCTAAATGCATCTATTTTAATCCATCTGTATTAATCCAGTCACCTAAAAATATCAAAATGGATGTGATGCGTGATGATTATGATGCTTGAAGTATGAAAAGTGAACATTTAACTAAATGTACTTTACACTAGTCTTTATTTTATTTCTTATTTTGATTATAGCTTGAAACTACACCGTATTTTTGGTACAAGTATGGAATTTTCAGCATGCGATATCGATAGCCCAAATTTTGCAGGCCGACCATTGATATCAGGTGTCAGGTGTGCGTCGGCAGGGGATCGAACACCGGCCTATCTGCATAGTCGGCGATAGTCCTAACCGCTGTGCCACCGACGCACAGTGATTAGCAAAGGACTGGTCAAAAAATGAACTAGCTTAAAAAGGCTCAATACAAATATTAGTCTAATTCAATTAGATATTTCCAAACCAAGATCACTTTTAACAGTTTGAGAAAATTTGGACATTCGGTAAATGATAATCATTATCATGGAAGCTTTTTTTCCTAATCAATGAAAAACAAAACGATGTTTTCACTGACGTTTCGCTATTTAATGCTACGTATAGCTTTATTATTAAACCAGAATTTACAAAATCTCAGCTTATATATAACAAATTTAATCATCGTTCCTCAGCATGGGGTTATTTTTGCGTTGTCAAGTTGGCCAATCGGTAAAGATAACAAAACCAAGTGTAGATTGTTGGATTTGATCAGTGTGTAAAATCATAAAAGCGGTGTATGTTTACATAATGAAATCGCTTATCACATTTGTGTTGCTTTTGTCAATTTATGGAGGAGGAGGTGTTGTAACCAGGTCAAATTCTGTTTTAGTCCATCATTCCCATTCAGACAATTTGGATTCCATTTGGTATGAAGTGCTTCTGATATGAAACGTTCTTTGTGATTTCTGAAATTTTTTCTAGATTATTTCAATATTGTTAAAATCAGTCTTGTGGCCTGATTCTATGACGTGTAGACGACCTATGGCTCATGGTTTTTCAAACTTTTCTAGTTCAACTGGATTTCTCGGTGGTCGAATAAAGGCGGCTCTACAGTGTTCATTCCTTCTGATTTTGATTTCTCTCTGGCGATGTTTACCCTATGTATATCGCATCACGTTCCAAGCATTTTATTTTGTAGACACAACTAGATAGGGTATTCTTCGGGATTTAGTCTTTTACTTGGACAAGGTTGATTTGTAGTGTCTGATGATTTGAAGAAATCTCTGATGTTGCGCTTATTGAGTACTCTTCTGATGTCGTCGGACGTTTCTGATCTACATGGAATGATAACTGAGTCTGATTCTGTGTTGAAAAATTTTTCGAAGAGAAGACAGTGAGTTCAACAAGGATACTCTTGAAATAGCCTGATACGACGACACAAAGCTTGTTCTTAATTTTGTCTTAAAATGCCAAAAGCTTTCTACAGTTGTCTTCATAATTTCCAATGCAAGCCAATTATTTTAAATTGGTAATATTTTTACTGTCAAAGCAGTTTTTAAAACCTAACTATTTCACTGAAGGGAATCTTCTTTAATTTGCCAGGATAGTTATCTTAATAAGTTGGTTGGTTTGAACAAACCAACACTTGAATACTAATGGATACTTTTGTGGAAAACGGATGTCCTCTAAGGTTCTCAAACCGGTATGGAAGTCAGTTAGTCTCAAAACCTACAATCTATTCTGTCCCTAAGAACGATGTTTTCATCAAATTACCATACAGTGAGGAATTAAATAGCAGAATTTTGAGACAGAGACTAAACTCGGTCATCCACAGAATCTATTATGCAGCTCGGTCTATAATTATTGGAAAAGCCAAAAATATGCTCCACTACAAACCTTAAGAGTGCACAAGTGACTATGTCAAATCCCACACTATGTACCAATTTACGTGAGTGTGTGTGTGGACAAACATGCATAGGGAGGAGTAATCGCACTTTGCCTGTGAGGCTGGGAGAGCCAATTCTAAAATGATCGGAAAGACAGATGAACTTTGGAAAATCGATAGGCGCAGGTGGCAGACTACCAGCTTCGTCTATAGCTAAACACCTCATTGATATGGACCATAAGATAAGGTTATCTATAAAAATGAACAAGGGCGCTTACTGAAATACGCTGAGGCGTTGGCTATTCATAAACTTAATTCCTCCTCTGTGTACAAAACCAACTTTTTATTACTCTTAACCTACCTTGGTAATTCTTATCTGACTGGGTAATGAAAACTTAGTGTTAATTATTCTTATTATTCTTAAATCCTTTTTGTCATTCTGTTTACTTTAATTGGCCTTCATTTTTTACATAAATTGACTTGACAAGTAAAATGTGTCATAAGACTGTCCGAAACGTATTGTGCAAATACATCACATTTTTCGGATAATCTTCGTCTTCTAATAACACAATCCAAACTTATAAAAAGGGACTAACTGTTTTAAATCTTTGAAAAGTAAGATTTTTTCTTGGAGAATTTTCTTAAAAACGATGAGCATTAAACAGTTTGCATCTGATGATAATTCTAGTATACGTTTAGTGTTTTCATCCTAGAATTTTACCAGGAACTCACAAGTTAGCATGTGTTACTGATTTTCAGTTGCAGTTAAAATCAAAAAAATCCCCAAAGATATAATAAAAGTGAAAATATTATGATGGGAACAATTTGGTGGATGGTGAGTAGCAGTGAAATCCAGGATGCGGTTTTTCTCTTGTTTGAGACTGGTCATCTGAATTTACCTGTTTTTCCCAGTAAGTCATGGTGTTCATATTGAGACTCGAACCCACTTACAATATCATTTTAAACGCCAAAGGGTTATCCACCAGACTACCTGGGTCAAGACAGACGCCCTTTTGTGCAACAGGCATCAGTTATTATTTAAGTCAGCTTTGATTTTCTCGTTGATTGACTGGACCGAAGTGTTCGGCCTCTGTTGGTTAGTCGGCTCCTATTGTGGATGATTCGGGGATGCCTGACGACGAAGTCGAAATAAATTGGTTGATGATGACTTAACTCAGACATCACACTCGGAGGTGGTATGTTACAAGAGGTCGGATATTTCAGTCCAGTCAATCAATGAGAAAATCAAAAGTGACCTAAAGACAAATAATTATAATAAGAAGTTTTAAATTTCTTAGGACTAAGTGATAAAAAGATTTTTGACTGTACAAATATGATGTGATAGTTTATAATAAGTTCATATATAGAAGTATCCAAGTCAGACCAGCTAAATCTAGCCATCTTACTTAGATTCTCATTTCATCACATTTGAGTTATTCAATGGATACAACAAGAGACAAATTCATGGGTTCAGTGCACATCACCTACCATGAATCACTATAACTTATAAATAAATTCCTATACTCTTCCACTAAAAAACAATGTACGCTAAATATTAAGTAATAGTTTTCACGTAGGTGATGACAGTCGGTAAACTGTCCTTACTTTGGGCATTCTCATTCTGAAGGATTAAGTAATCTGCAAATCTTACACTGATTAAGAGAATTCGTACACACATATAGTTCACTCTGATGTCAGGCACAAAGAAAGGCTTTGAGAATTATATATTTGATTTTATCAAACAATATTGTAGACAAAACACTCACATACGAAACCTCTTTATATATATAGCCAGCTCAGTAACACAAAAGCTGCACTTGTTGCCAACGCGTGCTATTCAGTAAATAACTTGAACATTCTTACTTTTTCCATGGATATTTATGAACTTCTGTAGCTGTCCACTAACATCTTAGTTAACTGAATGTTGTCGTTTCTATCTGAGTATCCCAAAATGCCGTATTCTTCTCTGATATTCTACTGTTTATCGTGAAAATGATTACTTAGTCTCTTTTAAATAAAAGGTATATAATGCAAACTTTTTAAAGGTGAACATATGATGCATTTTCATTAAATTGTAAATCTCTTTATCAATCTTTTTTCTATGTATTTAATTAAAATGAATATCATTTTGGTGGTGCTATAAACTTGCAGGTTGAGTAGTTCTACCTGAGTAAAGACACGTGATAATTATTTGATGAAATTTTCTAAAAAAAAAGACACCGTCATAAAACTGTGTTGCTTGAAAATGCTTAGGATTCTAGTCCCACAAATACATAATACAATTATCTCAATAAATGATATAAACAAATTTCAATGTAAAATATTTTACGTTTCACATGCTTTCTAATTAAAATGTTCCTTCTGAAATTTACCTCTTTTCTAATTTGTATTGTCCATGCTGAATGATTGTAAACATAATATCGCATATCATGAGGGAGTGCATTTGAATTTCTTCTACCAGTCTGACTTTCAATAGCTCCTGGTGATGCATGTGAAAGTCGACTGTCCTGAATAATATCACCTGGTGATTTTGATCGTGGAAATCCGATGGTACTCGTAGGTGTATTAGAGGCAGGTGAAGAATGGAACTGACTAAAGTTTTTGTCCTTATCAATACTTCTCCTTCTCATCGATGAATGGGATCGAATGCTTTCAGCAAATCGTTTAGACGCCATTGAACGAACTGCTTTAAACCAATCAGCTTGTGAATTAGAACGACGATAATTATTGGACGAATTTGGAACCGATTTTTTCATATGACCATTGTATGAATGAGTCTACAAAAACAATTGAAGTAAATGACTGTAATGCTGTTTAGTAATCCTTAAATATACATTGGCGTTTATCTTCATTCAGATAAATATTAAATTTCTGTCCCTTCAACTCATGTATCCCGAAATTGCCTACCTGTAACTATTCCATTCCTTACTTCAGCATCAGTCAGTAAGGTACAATTGCTTCATAGATCGATGTACTTGTATAATTTTGATTCCAATGACAGTTATACACACTAAGTAAAGACCTACACTCATTGTAATGCGGCTGTGAATTATGCGAATTCCCAGGAGAAATTAGTAAGGAACGACATTCAGCTGGTTGTCGTTCCGAGTAAGAAACCAAATACCCATACAAAACATTTGTCACAATGAATTGAAGGCAGAAAAATTCTGATTTTCACTGTTTACCATACACCTCAAATACTTTTGGTAGCATATGGAACTAAAGTGGTCTCACTGAAATTAAAAGTTCAGTCATACTGGTATACATGCGTACTAGATGACAAAGAAGCAGTTCCCTTTGAAACATTTCATGAAACGTTCGCTAACAAATAGCATTCTTCCATTGATAGTGACATGAAATATAGATGACAGTCATAATAAAAGGGTGATTAACTCTTGAAACCTCAAGATTAAGATGAAATATAACTTCAAGTGTATGAAGACGTGGATGGCACACGAATGGCGAAAAAAGGAATTCTAGGAGAAATACCACTGTCTCATATGTTTCAACGTTTTCCACCATCCATCATTTTCATTAATTTGTAATTTCCATGCTTCGTATATCCTTCACTGTTCTAGCGCTATTCCACCCTCCAATCATGCCATCTTTGTCATATCTTATCCTCCCTCTCCTACATAGACACTTCTCTACCATCTTTAACTCTAATCACACCATGTCATTATTATAACTAATTGTTACTTTAAAATCAACAAATTTATAACATGATTTATCTCATCCTAATAACAATGTAAATTTTCCTAGAATTGAAGAAGAAAACTGTAGATGTACTCCGACAACCAGGCTACTAGATAGAAAGGTATTTTAGAATGTACGTTCTATGATTAAACATAACAAATTTCAGCCGCCAAATTTCATATTTACGAAATTATTCAAATATATTTTGACTATAGTTAATTCGCCTAATCTCTATCTTGCATGGTTTTCGTAGATGCATAATTACTGAATACAAAGGATAAAAATAAAACACTTGGAATAAATTAATAGAATGGAAATCCCATAAATTATGCCTTACTGTAGTTTTAATTCCGTGTATTGAATCCGCTAATTTTCGATAATTTTGATTTGTATGCTTCTTCACTCTGGGTGGTGAATTTTCCACAGGTATTGAATCACCATTTCTGAAATACAGTATAAAATAAGATAATAGAAATGTTAGAACATTCAATTCTGAAATCTGTTACGGAATTTACTAAACAAAATATATGGAGCTAATTTACAGATATGTTTGTGCGATTTTAAGCCTTAGAATCCAGCAGTAAAACAAATGTTATGCATTGTTTGAAAGAAAGCCAATGAAGACTTAGTGTGGCGAGTGCTACTGATAAGATTTATCAATAATATGTAAAGAGACGTTCATCGGCATAAAAACATCAAATAGCAAGGGGATACATTTGATTTCAGAGAAGGAAAATGATACAGCGTTGCGGAGATGCAAAGGAGACGTGAAAGGAACACAAAGAAACACAACTTTAAGTCCAGAAATGTTTTACAACTGCTTACTCACACACACAGACACACTCTGTTTAAGGTGTTTAACAAAGGTAGACCAATATTTTTAAGTCCGAGGTCAAATTTTAATCACAGCTCATAAAATTTTGTTTATTATACTTGTTGATACTCATTGAATGTCTTATGATTGGACAAAGTTTTTAAAAACAAGTGATGTTCCTTTTTATATATAAACCTCTGTTATGTTAATTTCGATTAATTTCCCTGAAGAAGTTCGGACCAGATTACCGAACGAAACGTTGGAATTACTCATTTCAATCTCGCTGAGATTTTACAAATATAATCTTTTACAAATGTCTACTTCTCACTTGGCGCCCAAATATTTTAGAACTATTCTGTCAAATCTTGACGACAGTTCATTTGAACCATAGATTACTTGACTAAGGTGTTTGAGATACTAAGAATCAATGGTCAGAGAACTTTGGCGACGTGTTTGTCAGTAGCGCGAATGCATTAACACCTTGAGGGCATACAGTTTCTGAAAATCTTCACAAATTTTCATTTAATTATTCTGTTTCCCTAACATCTAATGTAATTTCACTACATTTCTTTTATCCATTTTTATGACCTTTCTTAGAACGCAGGAACTTCAGTGGGTGCCTTTTCTTTGAACAGTTCTACGTTGACAAGTAGGTCAGTCAGTTTAGTATTGTGTGAGGTATTACAGCTTGTTGTCTAAAAAGAGTAGCTGGATAACCAGTGAAAATATGCTATATATGAAATTAAAGAAACCTAAAACGTGGGAAGTTGACTAATACGTAATATTAAATATCGATCGTACTATAACACATATCTACAGAAGTTGCAGTATTCTGATCTAATGGCATGAGACAAAAGTATTGTCTACAAAGTGTACTGATTTCAGAAGCACATGTAACTTGCTTGTAGGCATAGGCCTTAAGGACACATGGTCTGACCCTAAAGCTGTTATCATTTCTTGATGAAATCTACTGTGAGTTTAGTAATCAGTCAAATGAATCGCATAACTTTGTCAACACTTAATTCTGGTAGATTCTGAGAATTTGTTACATAACAATCACAATAATAGGCAAGGTTATGCAATATAGAAAATATGAATATGCTGGTTACACTTTTTTGGAGACATTTCGAAGTGTGAAAACGGAAAGATCACAGGGGTGAACATAAGAATTAACGTCAGCGTTTGTTCAGAATGATGAAAGTGATAAGAAATTATCAAGAACTCATTATTTTTCCCAAAAAAGTGGTGAAACAAAAGAAAAGTTGTTAAAATACCTGTTGTAATAATTATTATTCAATGAATTTTTGCTTTCTTTAGGTCTTGTATAAGTTGGCAGGACTTGATGCAGCAGTATATTGTTCAAATGTGACCATTCTTTAGGCAGTTCCTGCTGACTAAATATATCCAAAACATAAAAGTAACCAGGCACATCTAATACCTTCGATGCATAATTCAGACTAATTGTCCAACCTTCATAGATCTGAGTTGAATACGTTCTGTAATTTTTTTCAAAAAAAGAAAGAAAAATAGAAAATAATATTTCTTTAAGACTATCATCAAATGAATACTCTGATGTGCGAATGGGTAGTATGAAAAAGTCTATTCATGAGATTCCTCTTGTTTTCTGCATTCAAATATTTTACATATGTTAATAAAAGTTGGATTAAATCAAATATAAATGACAATATATAGGAGACCTATATTTGCTTTCAATATTATCATAGATAACTAGATGTATTATTTTTTTTATTCCTTTAGGTTCCCAGTGGAACATAGGGCTTCAAGCTAGAGGCTTGAAGTTTCTGTAGCATTGTTTATTTTTACAGGATGCAGTTGATAGCCTCATGCCCAACCTTCCCTCTTTGCCAGCTTTATTTCTGGATTAGCGAGGTAAAGGACTGCGTCGGCCGGGGATCGAACCTCAGACCATGTGCATGGTCGACGAGCGTACTAACTGCTGTGCCACCGACGCACTGGTGTCGCTGCCAGGATACCAGATGTAATATACTTTAGATAATTTCGACTGTAGACTGTATACACTATCAGGATATATATCTCATGAGCTGATTAACTCAACGTCTCTAGTGTGAATTCGGTTGAGATGTATTCAACTTTATTTCACTAGTTATTATCTTATCAAATTGCATTCTTTCACGAAAACATATAGTTTTAAGTGCAAGTCTTTCACTATGAGAAACATCTCAATGACTCTATTAAACTGGCACTATTTACAAACGCTTTGGGATGCAGTTATGAAGGCTTAGTTAAGCAGTGGCGTGCATACAATTAGTTACTAACTAGTGTTCAATCAAAGTATATGCAGTTCAATTCATTATTTCTATGCAATATTGATTAATACCTACCAAACTTGATTCATCGATCTATTGTTATAATTCTAAAGTGGTTTGTTAGGTAGTAAGTTCGTAATTCAGTATGAAGCCGTCAGACCACTGAACAGTATATGTGTTGTAAAGTGTATGAGTGAAATTTCACACTGAAAACACTCCTATATATAAGAGGGATAAATGAGAAAGGTTATTACTATCCTATTTGAAAACACTAGTTTGGAAAATGCCGCTGACACGTACACTTAAGCAGGAAGTATTGTAACGTTCTTAGCAAATTTACTAAAGCCGTTGATCAGGTGGTGAGTGCTTAAACCACAAACAAAGACTGTGGATATATCAGTAATACGAAAAAGAAAGATAACAGAGAAACTAATGTTTGTAAAATTTAACTACAATAGGAATAGGAATAATTTTGGTGTTACGTAACAAGCTGTACCATCTAATTAATACGCTGCTGAATAAGACGGTCATTCCGCTATTTGTCCTGTTCTAATTCTCATGAAAATATAGTAAAACGTCTGTGTTCTGTTTAGAATGCTACATTGAAAACGATAGAGTCATTGTATGTAAAAATAAACTCCCTATTTAGGCATTTAGAAAATAGGATTGAGAGAAGAAATGTTTACTTTTCAACCAAATCCTCATCTATAACTCTAGTCTAATATATGTATAGTTTTCAATAGAATACAAAACATTTTCCAACCTAGTGATAATAAGTTTGTTAACAATAATTAGTCCGAATAAATACACCTCTAGAAGGTGATAGTCAAGCAAATTAACACAACAATTAAAGGGTGGAAATAATTGCGAAATTAAACAAGTGGATTGCATAATGTATGGCTTTGGAAAAATAGGGAGCAACTAAGAAGTAAATGTGTGTTTAAATCGATTATGTAATATACAACTAAAGGTGAGGTAGTCGAACTAATAAAATAATTAGGAAAATAATAACTTGTAAAAGACTTAAATAGAGGCAAAAACTATCAGTTTTCTGCATTCAGGTAATGATGATCAAGGTAAGGAAAGTAACTGCACAAATTTCTTCTGAACACACAGGTCTGGCGTCTTCAGGTGTATTTTCGAAGAGTGTACTTACTGTTCTACAATCAATCTTCGAATATTTTGCAATGAGTCTGTCGACATTTTTCGAAACAACATGTCAACTTCAGCAATAAACATCTCAATACTGAACAATATTACAGTTCACCCTGTTAAGACTGCCATTATCTATGTCAATTTTCCAAGTTAACGCAATCCATTCAAAGTGAATTCTATCAGTAGACGTGCTCACCAGTTAGTCAAGTCAAACAAAACATTTTATGGAATACACCACTATTATACCGTTTCATCGGTACCAAAGTTATTTCGATTAATATATGGAAAAATCAATAATTGAATTAACACATCTCTGTGCTCACCTGTAAGCTAAAGCCATGCCAGCTACTGTTTCAGCCCGTGTAAAACTATTAAGATGGAAAATTGACAATATACCTGTAAGAAGAAAGTTAACAATAGATGAAGACTGAATTTTAAAAAATGAGAGTTCACGCAATTATACTCTTTTAAATACACAATTTATTGAAAAATTAAAAAGAGAGTCGTAAGAAAAGATAAAATTTAGGTATGTTGAAAAATTAAAATATCTGACAATTAGCATTTATTCTGATCAGTAGTTTAATTATGTTCTCTGTTTGCCACCTAATCACAAACTCTCCCATTTATTGGCGTATCCGGCATTGATGAAGGGAAAACGATGATATTTACTACACGTCTAACTGGACCGACGTGAAGAACCTAGAAGACCTGGATTTCGCGGATGATTTATGTCCGATGTCACACAAAATCGAAGACTTACAAGCGAAAACCGACAAACTGGTCGAAGAAGCAGCCAGAGAAGGCAGGACTCCAGGTGAACATAGACAAGACGGAGGTTATGAAAATAACCAACCAACAACAACAACAACAGCAACATCCACTGCCAATCACCATCAACGGGCGGGATTTGAAGGAGGTTACTTCATTCAATTATCTAGGGAGCATTGTCTCAATTACAGGAGGAACGGACGAGGATTTCACATCGAGAATCGGAAAGGCGAGAAACACATTCATCAACCTGAAACCAATCTGGAAATCTTCGTCACTCAGCCTGCATCAACAACAAAGTGATTCGGATTTTCAATACAAACGTCAAGTCAGTCAGTTCTTCTATACAGATCAGAAACTTGGCCAGTGTGTCACAAAGAATATTTCCAACAGCCTGTTGCAGACCTTTATCAACAACTGTCTTCGTCGCTCTATACTGAAGATCAGATGGCCGGAAAGAACAAGAACCAACAAGAAACTATGGGAACAAACAAAACAAGAACCAATCGCCCAACAAATATGCAGGAGAAAGTGGAGATGGATTGGACACTCGGTGAGGAGGCCGCTGGGTGACATCGCGCATCAGGCCAGTGTTCGAGTGGAACCCGAAAGGGAAGTGGCGAGTGGGACGTCCAAAGGTGACATGGAGGAGATCGTGTGAAGAGGAGTTGAAACAGTATGGACTAACATGGATGCAGAAGACAGAAGCGAGTGGAGACGTGCAGTTGAAGCCCTATGTTCCACTACGAACCCAAGGGAACAATAAACAATAATAATAATTACTGTCAGACAACAAGTTCATATCGAGTCTATAAAATAAAGTAAGATAGAGTAATGAATATACATACAATCTTCTAAAAATATAAGAAGATACTGTTTCTCACTTCCTTAATAAGAACAATTTATTCATCGAACTAAGTAGACTGTATAACTGCATACAAGGTACATTTATTTCACAGAAACAGTCATACAGCATTAAAAACTGGATTATTTCTTTTTTTTTATTTTTGTTTACAGCTTGATGCCATACCGTATTTTCAGTACAAGTATGGAATTTTCAGCATGGATATCGGTAGCCCAAATTTTGCAGGCCGACCATAGATATCGGGTGTGCGTCGGCAGGGGATCGAACCCCGGACCATGTGCATGGTTGGCGAGAGTCCTAACCACTGTGCCACCGACGTTTCGAACGCAATCTGTTGCTCATCTATATGAAATAGCCACATTCAATTTCATTGCTTGATAATTCTCTGCATTACTAAATTTTTGCTAATAATCAATAAACGATTTTCAACGACAAATTACAATAATTAATTCAAAACTAATTAACGTTTTCACACTTATTTTGTACATACATTACCACAGTGAATCTCCTAATTACTTACCATCAGGAAATGTCAATTTAATTCCCATGTGAGTTCCAGTGTAATTGATACGCCACTCTAACAGAGAAGGTGGATACAAACGAATAATGGAAGGTTCCAGTACAACACGGTCTTCACATAATTGGGCTGATCTTGGAGGTGCATGTTCTCTAATAAAACTATAAACAGAAAAGAAGTGAATTGGGTAAAAACGAATTTAGAAACAATAATTTTTAGAGAAGAAGCATTTGATGAAGGGAAAAAGGGAAAATCGAAACAAAATTAGGAAGAAGTATATGTTGCATTTGATTTTCACTTCTTGCTACCTGAATGCTGACGTTAATCAAAATAAAAGTATGTGAAACTCAATTGCGTAAGTCAATCAGTTGTGTATTGTAGTAGTGCTTTTCACAGTTTACTCTGGTCTGTAGAGAAATATGAAATAAAGATGGCATTTACCAGGCCTAAAAGACATTACCAGAATATAGTGTGGTGAGAGCTATCTGCTAGCCAAAATTGGTAGACAGCAATTGACGTCGATGTTTAGGTCCCAAATCATGGTCATGAGAAAAAAAATAAAGACTAATTCGACAACCAGTAACAGCAGACTTTGCGTGGGCGGATACGATTAGCAGATATATGGTCTGACCTTCAGAGAAACGGCCACAAGAGATGACAGATTAACTTTCAGCGAGAAAACAACCAATCAGAAGACGCTGTTTCTCTGATAATAATAACGAATAATAATGTACATAAAAATAGATAAATATCTGTTGATTTTCTCAATAAACGTTCTGTTGCCTGTCCCTTGTCTTCTGTCGGTACAATATTTCTCTAGGTTGAAGAAACGCATAAAGATTCTGACTTTTTCAAAAATTGACATTCTCACCTCAAATATACTTAATGAATACATCTAATTGTTTCGGTCTAAAAAAATAAGGCACTATAAGATAGGACACACTTGGTTTTCCACCAAAAAGCTAAAGAAAGCAAAAGTCTTTTAAATAAAATCATACCGGACTATGGTTGGTGTAAGCGTTTGCGACAATTGACCACAAGTAAGCATTCCTGCAATATGCATCCAAAGGCGTCTATAAGCACGACGTTGTATATCAGCCTGAGAAACTGATGATTTGACAATCACTGGACTATTTGGTTTTGATGAGAAATATCCTGGATATTTAGTCTCTGGATTAAATTCACTTGGTTCATCTTCGGCATCTGATGTAATTAAATCTCCAGCTGAATCAGGCCAATTTAATGTCATACTCAACAACTGAATAAGATATTCCTTTTGAAGAGATTTCTGACAAAGAGCCTGAATGTTGGAAGGAAAAATGCCACTGTGTTACTTTTATCAGGGAGGTTTTAAAAAACTGAATGTATGTGCAGATACTGCTAATAGGTTTAATTGCAAAACACGTTCATAATAATCAGAGTGAAGTTTACCAATTCAAACCTTCATAAAATTTATAAGACAGAAAATCAGCTAACGTAACTCAATTCAGGATATTTAACTGTTAGCGATGCGCGCACATAACCCTATTGCAGAATGAGTTGACAACTTTGGGGTTATGAAGTGAGCTCGTCAATACTGACCTTAATAGATAAATACTGAAATATCTTAAACTATGACAAAAGAGATATACAGTTCATCTTAGATTTCAATGGTCGTCTAACCGATATCAGTGCATGACAAATTATACCTCGTTATCTTGAAAATATTTACTGCATGGATGTCCTAAAACTGCAACGAAAAGTCATGTCCAGTGGGATCTACCATGTCAAGGTAACGTGGTTACTAATCCAAGGTGTTGATCGGGTTGACATAACTATAATTCACAGATCAGTGAATTCCGACAGAAATGGCTGAATGTTCAACGAGACTGGTCTCGTAACCTTAGGGTCCCGAGTTCGATCCATGATGGGGTTGTGGGTGTGCAATGCTCAACGCTCTCAAACTGAAAAGAAACAGCTGTCTAGTGCTTTCAGGACTTTAATGCTGTCTAACTCATGTTGGCTCGTTTCCGAAATCCACATCCAAATCAATCCGAATTCCTACAAAAGCCCATAATCTAGATTTTCTATTATTTGCAGCTGGCAGTTCACAAAAAATACATTAATGCAGATGAAATGAAAGTCAAAGCAATTGTATAAAGACTGAGACAAATAGTTCTCAAACATTTGTTTTAAGTAAAAAATAATATGACAAACTGAGTATATTACTTTCCCCACCATAAAAGAAAAAATATGTTCTGAAAGAAACTGTGGGTAAGTCTATGTAAAACGAATTACCCTCACTGTCAGGTACATTATTCAAGGAGTTTACGTTTGAATTTCTTACTTTATTCTCTGAACTGTGCTTGTTTTCCTATCGTCAGTGGTGTGCACAAAGTGACTTTTAACATTTCTTATAAACCCTACATCATCAAAAGGTCTATTCACACATATTAAAGATTTTGGCGAATGAGATTCCAGGTTTGATTACGAGCTGACTTCACTTATAAAATCACCGAAAACCAGGGAGTATTAACTGAAGTTGTGCCTCGGTGGCACAGCGGTTAGGACGCTCGCCGACCATGCACATGGTCCGAGGTTCGATGCCCGGCCGACTCACTCCTTTACCTCGCTAAGCCAGTAATAAAGGTGGTGAAGAGGAAAGGTTCGGCATGAGGCTAGCAACCGCATCCTGTAAAAATAAACAATGCTACAGAAACTTCAAGCCTCTAGCTTGAAGCCCTGTGTTCCACTGTGGAGAAAATAAAAGATGCACTCAATGCAGAATTTTCCCTCAACGAGAACAAGCTGGACTCAGGAAAGGTAAATCGTACGCTTGTTAAACTGCAACTCTACGCATCGTCATCACAGAACGAAGCATAGATTGGCAGTCAAACCTCTACCTCAACTTCATAAATTTCGAAAAGGCCTCCGACAGACAGCATTGAGCGAGAAATAATTTAGAAACTACTTCAACACTACGGCGTACCTCAAGTCTTTATCAACCTCATTCAACAGCTATATGACAATACCACATGTCAGGTGATCCACAACGGGAAACTCAGCAAGGCATTAGAAGTGAATACAGAAGTAAAACTGGAGCGGCCTGTTATTACCGATGATATTCCTAATTGTGGTGGACTGGATTATGCGTCAGACTGTAGGCAGCAAGAAAACATAATGTTGGGCCAATAAGAAAACTCCAGAAGATCTGTATTTTACAGATGATTTATGTTTAATTTCACACAAACTCGCAGACTTGCAGGCGAAAACGAACAAACTGACTGAAAAAGCTGGCTGGAAGCGAAGACAGGACTACAGACGAACAATCAGAAGCTGAGGTGATGACGGTAACCAACGAACAACAACAACAAGCACCAATCACCATCAACGAGAGAAATTTGAAAGGGGTTACTTCCTTCACTTATCCAGGCAGTCAGCATTGTTTCAACCACAGCCAGCGGAACGGATGAAGATGTCAAAGCTGACCAGCATCGGAAAGGCAAGATAAGCCTTCATCAACCTGAAACCAGTTTGGAAATCTTCTGCATTCCGCCTCAGCATAAACAACAAGATCCGGAATTTCAACACAAATGTCAAGTCAGTCAGTCACTGCTTCTATACGGGTCAGAAACTTGCACTGCGCTCGTGTCACGAAAACCACATCCAACAAGTTACACACTTTTATCAACAACTGCCACCTTCGCTGGCTCCATACTGAAGATCAAATGTAAGACCAGAGAGAATTAGCGACAAGAAACTCTGCAGTGGAACAAAAACAAACCAAGAGCCGATTGCTGAACAAATATGAATGAGATCGGACATACATTGAGGAAACCGTCCAATGACATCGCGCACAATGCAGGCCATTGCTTGAGTGTAATCCCAGTGGGAAGCGACGAGTGAGTCGTCCATGTGTAACACGGAAAAGATCTTGAGAGAAGGAGATGAGAGATTATGGGCAATCATGGACCCAGCTGAAGAGGACAGCAGAGAAAAATGAAAGAATGTGGAGATGTGTTGTTGAAGCCCTATGTTCCCCTCGGAACCCAATGGAATAATCATAACAACAAATTCCCCAGAAAGAAGTTACTTAATTTGAACTTACAAAATTAAGACAACAATCAACCAAATATCTGTGTTCTCAAATTGATTTTACATAAACCATCAGTGAACTGTCTCATTCTACTGTGCATAATTTCTCTTCATTATTCATCTGTACATCAATGAGAATTATGTAAATCTGAATGTATCAATCTATGTGTAGTAATATTAATTAATGCTATGCAATAACAAGGTCAACAGTTTAACTTACTTACAAATCAAAGAGAAAAATTGACAAATAGAACGAAATCAATTCATTCAATATGTATTCATCACTTACCAATTGGTACAAATAACTACCGACTAGAAATTGTTCATATAATGACATATCTGGTAAGAAGAGTAGTCGTAAAATCTGCGAAATTCCAAAAATTAAATACAGAAAACGAATATCAGTCAAGTAAGAAGTTGGCAGCAGTGAGATGAAAGTGTGGTTCATTTATTTGACCACCTAACTTTCGCTTCTTTGAAGCTGCTATAAGCAATTAAAAAGTTTTGTAAATGCTTCTCAATGCCTAATTTATTAAAACACAGAGTGACTAAAATACATTAAAGTGTACTCAGTAGAAAGCTATAGTCTTATCCCCACTTATCAATAGCGTGATAATAATTTACTGTAAAGAAATGCACAAATTTCAACCAGCTACTCAAGCCTATTTTATTATTAAATACCTAAGTCGTTAAGGTCTATAAATTATCAGAAAATAATTCATAACTCTGATTACCTATCAGTAGTTATATTGCTATCTGACATTATACCATTACTGCTACTCCTTTTCAGATAATGAAATACTGGCAACAAGCGCATATTAGTAATCAACCTGCATTTATGCTTCTAAGATAATATATTTTTTTATTTATTTTGATCATAGCTTGATTCCACACCGTATTTTTGGTACAAGTATGGAATTTTCAGCATGTGATATCGGTAGCCCAAATTCTGCAGGCAGGCCATTGATATCAAGTGTGCGTCGGCGGGGGATCGAACACCAGACCATGTGCATGGTTGGCAAGAGTCCTAACCACTGTGCCACCAACACTCACAATAAAAATGCATAAATTTTGAATCCGGAAAGCATATAGTATTATAACAACATTGTGCTGCAAAATGTAGCATTTAAGAATCATTCCACAAGTTTATATAAAACTGAATGTATGACCCTAGAGCGCATAGTTTGATTTACATGTATATCACGTTGAAAAAAGGGCGAAGTTCAACAATAGCGTCCCAGGAGTGTGAACGCTCCAATGAACTTTAACGCATCCTAGTCACTGGCTGACGGCACATGTTGCTATCATAGCATAAATATCAACGCAAGTCACCAGCTTAGCAGCAAATTTTACTCAGATCACTTTTTAAGCACTGTTTCGACGATGTGTTAATAGCTTGTTAGGGTTAGGAATAGGGTTAAGGTAAGGGTTGGGGTTAGGGTTAGGATCAGGGTCATAATTAGGATTAGGGTTACGTTTATGGTTAGGATAAGGGTTGTAATTAGGGTTAGGATGAAGGTTAGGGTTAGTGTTAAGTTCAGGGTTAGGGTCAGGATTAAGGTTAGAGTTATGACTAGGAATAGATTTAGATTTGATGTCATTTATTTTAATTTGTTTTCTTATCCACATTTTCCTGGTAAATAGTCGTCGATCCTCTTACTGGAATCTATAGTAATTCAACCAAGGGCTTTGGGGAAGACTGCACAATAAGATAAGAGAGATGAACGATTCACAAAAACGGTTCATCTTCAGTCACCTCGGTGAATACATGTACAGAAACTAGTCTAACTTAACAACTGATACTCCTCATTATAACAGGGACCTATCTTTAAGATACCCTGTTTAATGTGTTTTCATGCATTTTCTTGTAAATGTACGTCATTTTTTGAGCAAAAATCACTTATTTTTATGATTGGTCGGCTCATGGTCATTCATGCTATTCCCACCGCTTGGGAACGCTATTGTTGAACTTTGCCGAAAAAAGAATACAGTGTATCTTTACTGACAAGCACTCGATTGAGAATTATGCCTACATTGCTTTGATGAAACACAGCTTACTCTGAAAACCAATCACTGCTATTAAAACAAATGAATGCATTTGAATTCTAACAATGATAGATTTAGACTTAAGGAATGCGCACATATAGTATGATAAATACCAAGTTTTCTTGATGAATTTCGTCATGAACAATAAAGAAGAGAAAAAAACAAACGAATTACCAATTTTGAAGCGGCTACGCAAGCAGCAGTCAGTTTTTCATTTGGTCGTGTTAAAAATATTGGACGTTCACGCGGTGCTACACGATAGCCAAGTTGTGCCTGTTGAGATAAAATTATTGAATAAAAACGCGACAACAAATGTAGTAAACCCGTCTAATTGTACTACGTGTCACACCTCATATCAGTATAATAAAGGAAAATAAAGCTTCAGATAGCAAAACAAAAAATAAAGATGTCAACAATAGAAAAAAATGTAGACAGTATGTCACATGAAATGAGACAATAAAGTCAACAAGAGTATTGAAGTCACAAGCACATCTGTACTAGACTACATTTGATTTACCACACACGTCAAAACTTTCTAAAGACACCGCTTAACAACAACCAGTTTAATACCAAAGACGAAAATCCCGTCAAAATATTTATGTCTAAAAGAAATGTTTTTATAAAACCACCATTCAATAGTGTTGAAGTAAGACTTCAAAATAATCTGCAACTCATTAAATGTAATGCACAAACTCATGCTGCTATGCAGTGGTTTATAAGCTGAAGCAACTGGATCTGTTCATTCGCCTTCAAATGAAGGTGTATGCAGATAAGAAGAAAAGAGATTCTTGCTTAGTATTTCTGAGCACTCACTGAAGAATTAGTGAGAGTTATGATACCACCCGCTAGAGTAGATCATATGATAAGCTTGAACAAAGCTTTTCGTGTAATAAATCGACAGAATGACAGTAAACTTTTGTGTTATGAAAAATCCATAACAGTCAACTGAAATCCTACTTATACGTATAAAAGGAACGAATGGTTCACCCCACATTGTTTTGTTATTTTGCTGTTCTTCTAGAGCTGCGTTGTTTTATCCTATTGTTTTGTAAATCATCTTTTAACATTATTCATCTATTAGTTTAATTTGATCCAATCTTCATTCTTCGTATACATCCCTATTAATTCGTTATAATAACTGATAATCTTAACACACCATATCCAGATTGGACTAGAAGATTAGTATTGGTGTAATGGGTGGCCACAGGTGATGAAGTAAAAATCTGGATCGCAGTAGGATTCAAACCAGTTGCCACTGTGCCCATTATATCAATAGTAGTCTAGTAATACAAGACTATCCCAGATAGTTTGTCCATCAGTTAATAACTAACTGTTCTTTCTCTAACCCCGTCTGACTAGGAATGACAAATGGCACAGAGGGGTAAATAGTACCAGGATAAATGGACAATTATTCATCAACTATTTACATGACGATTGGACATTATCTGTGATGACCGTAATGAAATGATTTTGTCAGAAATAAGGTTTCATGGCTCAGTCTGTATAAAGACAGGCCTGTAAACCCGTTGGCGTTGGTTCGAACCCCTGTAGCTGACCGGTGTATATCCTTTTTGTCTTTTTGTAGTACATTTTGTCATTTTTTACAAACTGTTAGTACTTAATGCCTTTACTAACTGATGAAGCTGCAGCTTTTGTGATTTTAATTTCTATATATCTTTTTCTATAAAAGGGAAAAACTATAGAATAAAAAATGTTTTAATGTTTGTAATAATTAATTGCAATTGCTAGGAAATAGCTGAACATTATGCTACTGAATATAAAGTAATCGATACTTGAAAACTAACGTAAATTATCAGAATTTCAAAACTGCAATATGAAATGATAAGTAAGAATGTAAGTCAATAATCAAAAATGATTGAATCTTACCGATGAACCAGATGCTTGTAGCAGGTGCGCAATAGGCGCAGCACGCCAAACTGGTCTACCATAACTATGCCAGGAGGATGAAACGTAGTTTGGTGCAAACCGACGGATGCAGCTTGAAGGCTTAACCACTTTGTGCATTTCAAGCCAAGATTCTTGACCTAGTTTAGTATATTATTGAGAAATAGAAACGCAACAATAGAATTTTGTATAAAAATCACTCAGTTTTTAATATGTATAAAGCGGAATGGAAATCTTGATGTTAGGTGGTTGGAGGCAATCGGCAGGAAGCCTTGTCTCAGAAGGGACATGAGTTCCTTCAAGGTTGCAGATACGCCTTGCTGACAAGTGCCAATCAGAACGAACCCAGGTCCAAGGCTTCCTGCCGATTCCCTCCAACCATCTAACACCAAGAATTCAAAGTGCACCGTGATGGCGAGCCACCTAGAATGGTAACCACATTGCAAATCTGACTGATAGAATTCAGTCTGCACCAAACAAAGGACTAGACACACCACACTGGTTACTGGTATCCAATCAAAGGAATGGGAATCTGAATGTCAAGAGAATGTTTTTATCGATTAACTGAGTATGCCAATTTGTTCTCTACTGATACAGGAGCTTATATTCTCATAATGTGTAACATTTATTGACTCTGGAACTTCAAACAAACCATTTTGAAATAACTTCATCCTATAAGTTGTTGCAAACTCAGATAGCAACCCACAAGGTAAAGTGTATGAAAAAAATATCTCAACAGCCTATCGACGTAAAAAGTAGTCAAATACAGCCATGTGTAATAGCTTTCACTATTATAATGCACTCAGATACTTGCTGAGTGACCCAAAGCATTATCCATAGGCTGCAGATTCTCATAAACTGCTGATTTCGCTGAATACTGAAGACTACATAGCCGAAAACGATAAGCAACAAGGAACTGCGGTGGTGCAGCTGATTAGCCAAAAACTCCTTACTTAATAAATATGAAGAAGTAAATGGATGGGTTGGACATACGCTGAAGATACCTTTCAGTGACATCATACTCAAGGTGGGCTTGATTAAAACCCAAAAGTGAAGCGACGGGTTGGACACCCTAGCATGATAAGTTGAAGATCATGTGAGCAGCAAACTAAAGCTTGTGGGCGGTCGTAAAGTTAACTGCATGTGATGGCAGAGAAATTACTTCACCTGAAGCCCTACACAAACAATAAATAAGAGCAGTACTTAGACGCCAAAGCAGAATAAATTACGGGACATTTCAGAGAACTACTTGTTCTGATAACTTTTTAGACGAAAAGCAGTATTTCTAAATGCAGTACACATATTATACACAGTGTAAATTGATTGATCTCAAACGCCACACCTAGGTGATAAATTCTCGAGTTTGGGAAGGAATATAAGTTTCTTGAGTACTATAGAAACACGTCGTTGATCAGTGCCATTCTTCCCGAAACTCTAGCCCAGAATTTTCCCCCAATAACTGCCCATATCTGAGAAAAAAATATCATGACGCGTATTTCCAAGAGACAGTCAGATGTTGAGGCCGGAGTTCTACTATTCAATCAGTAAGTTAGAATCCAATGGCTTTTGAATTCTTACTTTTAACAACTGACGTTTAGTATTATCAGTGAGTATCTATCGTCACACCAAAGGTTTAGGTTGAATTGTAGGAAATATCTTTCATAACCTAGTACTCCTGGATTTGGACAGTGGTGAGATCACGAACAAGCATAACCGAAGCCCTTGAAAACAAAATGAAAGAGCTATTTAGTGCTTAGCATTTTCTAATGGTTCTCTTAATAATGCATGGTAGCGGTGAAATCTAACAATTTAGTCCGTGAATGCTTGACAATGCTTGATAAATCTCTTGTGTAAGTTTATTAGCTTTCATTCCTTAGAAAAATGTTGAACTTTATTTTCATTCTGTGTACAAAGAACTTTATCATTTAAAATGAGATCGAAGTCACCCTCTCTCTCCTAATTAGAGTACAATTAGACAGACTGTATTAATAATCTTTTAAATGATACCAATATCAGAATATTATCAAATATAATTAAACTACTCAATTTAAGTACTTCTGAGCTAAAATTAAATAAAATTAATGGCATCAAATAATAAATTACATGTAGAATATTTTAGTTATGAAATTAAATGTAAAATTCTGCAATTTTACTAACTTATACTTCGATGTTCTAAAATGTAGGCTAAATCACCGGGAACCTCTAAACGTTTTATTTCGTATTCAGTTAACGATTTTACAGGTTTTTCACTTTTCTGTATTTCCTAAGAAATGCAGAAATTACAAAAAACAAATAACAGAAAAATAAAAATTATCATTACTATAGTTACGATCGTCAATTAATAAGTGAACAAACCGTTCGGAGTATTTAGCTCAGTAATACAAGAAATTACAAAAGTGAATGAAATGTTTACTGAACGTTTCTTCGTATCAGTTATTATGTATCAACCTATCAACTGTAATCAAAATTTAACCTTTACACTCAAAGAATTATATTGCTGTAGACAAATAGACTCTATATCATCGACGTTTTCAACATTTATTCTCTGTTCTCTAATAATCACACATGTTTATTGATTATTGCAGTCTGTTTCTATTAATCTACTCATTCTAGTCCTCTTTTTTTCTCCTGTGATATTCTTAGTGGATGAACTCCTTTTTTCAGATTCTACATTGTTATTTCCATCTATCTACATGATTTTAAATCATTGTGATATGTATTTCAGATGAAGTGTTAAAAGGTGATAAGTTAATCAAGCGAAAATTCTAGAAAACCAAACACTCCACATGTTCTTTCATTTCTGAATGTGTCCAGAGGCTAGTGTAAGCTGGGCATAGAGAAAACGAGATTTATGTTGTCCTTTAAACCCTGACGGCATCTGAGCGATAGTGTCACATCCTGCTGTGTCATACGTACATGGAAGGACCTATCGATTCCTGTAAGTCAGGGCTATAGAACACATCCCTAAATGGCTGCAAGAACAAGTAAAATCACCTAATTCAATTAATCCTGGGTATAGATGTCCAACGTCGTTTATCGCAAAGCACATTATAGAGACAGGTCATGAAGTTGATTTCAGTAGTGCTTTTAAACGATGTATATATAAAAAAGGTTGGGGTCACACGCACTTAAATCCGTTGAAGCCTTACTCATAAAAAAGCTTAAACTGTTTCTCTATGTTCGAAAATTGTTTGCTATTACATTGAACTCGCCTTGTTAATCCAATTTTAGAACCAAGGTTCACTTTACTTGGTAATATTTTCACCTCTCTTTTATTTTTAACTCATTTTCCTACCTCTCATCTATGATCATGACCCTTAAACATTTGGACTCATATTGATGGAAATTGACATCCTTTTTGCTTGGCTGCCTTTCTGTGTAAATATGTATGAAGAGTACGTGTGCGATCAGAATCTCCGAAATATTTTGCGCAAATAAATTACACATTACACAGATAAAATATATCTCCATATCATTTTGTTTATTTTTAGTGCCCTTCCTTCCTTTTCTTTTTCATGTAAACTGACTTGACAAGTAATCGTGTGATCCTAAATGTATTCTAAATGTATTACTCATTTATACACCACATTTTTCAGACAAACTCCGTTTTCCACTTACGATATCCGAATTGATTAAAAGGAGTAATTGTTCTAAATTTTCTTGATAATATTTTTGGAACAAACTATTGAATTTCTACAAGTAAACCGCAAAATTGTTAAAATATTGTATTGAAGCAGAAAAGGACTTTCTTTCTATTCATAAAAAGGCGATACATGTACTAGACGATTGTTTAGCTCAACCAAAGAGAAAGTAAAAACTTTCTTCTCACATTTACCGGCATTTTACAGTTGCCTTTTGCTTCACCATACGACAAGAATTAGTTCAGCCAGTATACAGGCAGATAACCGAGGATTTTGGATGAATTTGCCAGATATTAGCAAGCACACTAGTTCAGCAAAAAGACAGATGGATTTCGACAACGAAGGGCAGCAATGAAGCGAATATTTTGCGCTATCCTCATTGTTAGAACAACTAACGAGCAAAATTGACAACACACTGTATAGACCGTATTGGACACCCATGATGGATATTTTGAGTACAAGGTGAAAAAATACTAAGGACTGCACACACACTACACCGGCAACACCCCAATAACAACTCTATATAAACCTCAACTATTTGGCATAATCTAAAATATTGCAGTGTCTCTGTAGTTGTGAGCTGTATTGAATGAATGAACTTAATATGCAGTAAAATTGTTCTAGTGGGTATTCTGAAGCTGAATTTTAAAATGCTTGGGAGGGAAAGAACAGAAACTAATCCTCATAAGCTATATATAACTTTAGTAACTTATGAATAAGTAAAAGAGGATTGATCAAATGAGTGAAATTCGAAAAGGTATTTCATCCTCTCTCTCTCTCTTCAAGGGACTTCACAGTCAGTTTTTTTATTGATTGATATGAGTAGCCGAGAAATAATCACATCAACCAGTAATACTTACCAACCAGACCAAAGTGTTCTAATTACTATGCCATTTTGCTAATTTGCTTGCTTTCATGGTTCTGGATTATGCTTTCACAAAACGAGTTTGAAACTCCAAATTACTTGAATTAACATGGTTTAAATGACTACTTATGAAGAGATACATCCATGAAATTAAAAATTTAATCAACTTACTTCTGGTGGTGCAGTGACAGGTTGTTCCTAAAGGAAGAATGAGAAATTATATACTGATAAACACTTAAGTCACATCGTGATTTATCGGGCTAAATTGCCTAAGAAACGATAGTGTTCCTAGTCGAACAATAATAACTACAGGATTAAAATCTCCTATCTTTATTGCTCTAGCCTTCCATATAGTTTTAGGGTCAAAGGCGGGAAAAGTTTTGTAATGACTTCTTTGATAAGTAATAAATCGTACCTTGTAATTCGATGAAAAATCTCACTTCTGTCCATATGGACTTTTGTTTCTTCACTATGTTCTATCGCACTCAACCATTAGATGTCAATAAGATGATTTCCATTTACCATCTACTCTTTCCTGTTTTATTCCAGAATAACCATTTCTTACCTTTTTTATTAGATAACACAGTTACAGCATTCATTTCTGTGAAGGGAGTTCTTATTTCACTTTTGAAAACGATAATAATAATAATACAAAGGCTTCAAATTCCCTTCACTAAGTTATCATTGTCACCATTATTACTATTGTATTGAGAGTTGGCTGCGAACAAGCCGAAATCGTAGACAGCAGTTTACTTCAATGTTACGTCCCAAAACGGGGTCATGAGAAAAACAATAACAAAGCTTAACCTTGAGGAACTCACCAACCAATCACAGCAGACTTAACGTGTGCAAATACAAGTCGTAGACATATGGCTTAACTTTCTAAGAAACGGTTACATGCAGTACAGAGTAACCTTCAGCAAGAAAACAACCAATCAGAAGATGTTGCTTCGGCGCTGACAATAATATACTTAAAAATTTATAAATACCTCTAGATTTTCTCAGTAAATAATCTGTTGTCTCGCCCTTGTCTTCTGTCGCTACACTATTAATATGTTATCAAGAGTTATTGAAATCCTCATCTATGAGTTCTAATAATCTTTAAAATAAACCAACTAATATGTCCGCTATCACCTCCTCTTTAGCATCTAATCATTGATAGATAGATTCACGAAACTTTATTCAATTAGAATATCATTGAGCCTATTCAGTTTAACTAAATGAAGACAGCCGAAATGATGAGCAATATCTATAGTTGTGTTCTACTAGACGTTTATGTCTAGGGCATTAACAAACAAACAAAATTGTGTAGATTAAAAAATGGATTGCATATTCATTTCCTAGTGGGTGAAGAAACACTACATCTACTATCTTTTGACAGTAGTTATAATTCCCAATGACTAAGCCAACAAAGATGAGTTTCTTTTGAACAAATAGTTCTACCTTTTGCATTACATAGAGGTCAGAAGTATTCTACTTTCGTTATTCTTCTTGGATCTTTGTAATTAACTCTGAACGATTAGTCAGTTAAAATGTTATCACAGATGCTAATGTAGTGTTTGATTATAACACTTCTGATTGAACGAGTATCGCGGTTTCGCAACCAAGGTGGATAGTGTTCCCGAGTTAAATACCTAGACCTACCCCCCTAATATGTATTTGCTGCACAACTAACTATTGAGGGTACATGTATATATATTCAGTAGTCGAATTTAACATGAGAATTTCAAAACCGAATAAATATCTCACCTTGTTTCTATTTGATAAATACTCTACAACATCAGCATGAATACGTCTGAAACAGAAGAGTAGAAAGTAAACGTACATTAAGGTTTTATTCCTACCAATAGTTATTTTCTCTGCCAGGGGAATTAATAGGAATATCTAGATTGTGCAACATGTTGTTTGAACAAGTTCATAGTCAAATCAGACAATTTACAAAAAATGATTAAATATTATTGACAAAAAGCCATGATTTTGTTCTCAATCCCATTTCTATGTCACTTTCCTAGTTATAGGTTGTAGCTGAATTATGGTAGTTAGTTTAGTTCTTTTTGAAACTCGTCAGTTGGACTTGCTTGCAACTAAATAAATGGTGATATTTTCTATAAGACACTCTCCACAGCCATTCCAAACGCCACATCATTCTCAACTAGTGCAATGAGAAGTAGTTTTTTTTCAAAGACATCGGCTGTTGTCTGTTTAAACTGTTATCTTGAATTCAAATTATATATCTGAGTAACGGATAGAATGAAATGCACATTCTGGATTCCACGGATGATCATTATCTGACAGTATGTTTGCACGCTGAAGCTCTAAACTATGTAACACGGTTGAGACGAAACAACGTTGTGTATAAAGCATTACAGACAATAGTTTGTGACAACTCATCACTTTTGTTGCTACTCTCTTATATCAACATCCAATTCATCTGAACTTACTAATTGTATTTTCGTTTGACAAATTTAATGTACACACACATACAAAACAACCATATGTATATGCGATTGTACAGCTATGAAAATGAATTCGCCGAAAGGGCGTGTGTACTGCTCAACAGTCCGCTCCGTTCTCCTCTATGGCTGTGAGACATGGCCGCTGAGAGCAGAAGACATGAAAAGATTAGCTGTCTTCGATCATAGGTGTCTGCGTTCTATCTCCCGTGTGAAGTGGCAAAATAAGGTGAGCAATATTGAGGTTAGGCGTCGAGTGCTAGGTAAGGAGGGGAAATCAATCGACGAGGCTACATCGACTGAGATGGTTAGGACATGTGTTACGTATGCCTAGTCATCGCCTTCCTCGAAGGACAATATTAGCTGATATAGGGCCAGGCTGGAAAAGAGCTAGCGGCGGTCAAACGAAAGCATGGCACCAGTCAATGAAATCCACAATAGTTAGTCTAAGCCACGTAGGAAGATGTAGACTTCCTGGTTGGGGTCCTCGCGACGGTAAAAACCAATGGCTGGAAACAATTGGTGAAATGGCTCAAAATCGTTCTCAATGGCGCAGATGCATCCACTCCTTGTGACTTATGATTTCCAATAATATTGTCTTGTTTTTCGTTATTATTATTATTCCTTTGTCTCACACCTCTGTTTACTGACTATATTATGCATTTCTACTTTCTTCTCTTGCATTGTGTGCTACATGGAGTGTGGCGACTTGAACTGCCGCACATATGTGCAAAGTTCTATGTCGAAAACTGACCGACCGAATTCGCCGAAAGAGACTCTTCGCTGAACTACTTGTCTTCTGTCTATCAATATGAGAAAATCTGGGAAACTAAACAAAAATATCCAACAGCTGAAAGACGATTGTACCTTTAAATACACAGTAGGATTAGAATTCACCAACTAATGAATTCTAACACGGCAGCTGAGTGGTATTGTGCATGAGTCAATATCTTACAGTTCTGGTGTTTATCCCTACCGTAATTCTGTTACCTAATCGCTAACAAATCCCAATCTAAAATGGACCACTGTTAAATGATCCTTAATTTTCATGAAACTCGATTATTTTTCTTCAGTTGCATAAGAAAAAGACATTGACAGGTTCTTGGCATTGTTGAATATCATTTTTCAATAGAATATGCATAAAAGTAAGAAAGGCAATCTACTGAATAAGTGTATGTTGTCAAAACATGGAAACAACATGCTGAAATTGACGTGTTAGCCATAGATGTCGAATTCTATCATTTTAAATTTTGCTTTTAACAGCAGTCAAGGTGTATATTTTCAGTAATCTGTCTTCTTCTGTAAATGGATGTCAACATTAGTAAATGGTAAGCTTCAAGTCTGACCACCGATTGATATCAGTTAGAGAACCACTGAAAGTCATGAAGTTCTCGACATCCAACTCATCCTCGTTTGAGGCTCATCAACTGTACGCAGTCATTGGGGTTTGAACCCAGGACCTTCCGTTACAAGTAAGGCTAGTAGACCATCTAGTCACTGGGACCCAACTCAATGGCCAAAGAAATTCTAGCTTCTATCGATCCGTGATTTTAATGCAACCATCAGCCAGTGTCATTGGTGAGCATTTGTCTTCAATCCCGACCGGATGGACCTCAACGGTCACGACTTCTCACTAGCATTCCAGGCAACATAGTCCTGTAGCTAGTCACTAGCAAGCCTAAGACTAATTTGCCAGAGTTAGTTTGTAAGTTCAATTACATTGCACAGCATTCATCTATTTGACTGGCTAACCAATGGGTATACATATTTTTTTTTATCAATCCACGCTTACACTGCCTACTAAAAGAGTGAAGTAACTTTCACCTATTTGTCTGTTTTTCCGCCTCTTCCTTCACAATCACGCTTATTACTATGGTATGAAAACGCTGCAAAACAATAGTGTTTGTGTGAAAGTTTTTCTGTTTGTCGTTGTGTATGTCTAGGTGTGTATACAAATCACTTCAAAATTTACAAACAAATTAGTATAGAATTACACTGATAACAAGACACATTCCTAAACTTCAGAAATAAAATCTTTTTTACCAACATTATTATTACTGCATAAAAGTTATAAAAAAAATATTATTGATTCGTCTGTTTGATTTTATGCGTGCTTGTCTATCAGTTTATTTTTTTTTTCTATGCATAAAATGTGTACCCTTCTGTGTTGTGTTATTATTATAACAATAAATGTGACAATAAACACTATTATTATCGTCACTATATTGATCATTTTCTTGAAATGATATTCAGATGAGAGAAGTTTTTCACAGTGTCTGTTAAAAGATTTTTCGCATAGAAAGTGGATTGTGTTTTAACACAAGATACCTAATTCAAAGAGGAAAGTACCGATAAATCTAGGGAAGAATTGTACAACATAATGACTCATCTGTTTATTGCGATCAAGAACCTAAGCGAGGTAGCAAGATGGCATAATATCACTGAGTGATGTGAATAGTTGGAATTGGGCATTCGGTATTTAAATTATTCGTAACAGGTTAGCCAGCACAAATTGTTTAATGACTTTTAGTTAGTTACATCATTCAATGAGTCAAATAAAAGCGAAGACGTTCAGCGAAGAGTTACTCCTCCCAGCGATATCATTCACAAGCTGTACAATCACACATATACATAGTAAATTCTCTTAGCAACAAAAGGAATATCTCCAAAGATGTGTCATCAGAATTGTTAAATTTTAGATAACCAACTACATAATGTGTGCGTTGGTGTCACAGCGGTCAGGACGCTCGCAGACCATGCACATGGTCCGAGGCTCGATTCTCGGCCGACTCACTCCCTTACCTCGCTAAGCCAGTAATAAAGCTGGCAAAGAGGGAAGGTTGGGCATGAGACTAGCAACTGTATCCTGTAAAAATAAACAATGCTACAGAAACTTCAAGCCTCTAGCTTGAAGCCCTATGTTCCACTGTGGACGTGAAGGAATATATATATATACATATTTATATGTATATATATATATATACAATGTTGAAAACCTTAATCACGCAGAAACTAAAATTTAAATTAAATAAATTGAAGGATGTAATATAATTGATGGGGTTGAGTGAGTCAAGTTGACAACAGTGGTATTAAAAGATAGAAATTTAATAGGAGGTGAGAATTGAAGCTAATACAATTTAAAAACTGAAAACCAAAATTACTTCTGCCTATAATAATTTTCTGCACAGAACTCACTCACCTTGTTAAATATCCTCTATACCAAGCTTGAATAACTCTAGCAGCATTACGACGTGCTCTTTCAATTAAACCATTATCCCGGCGTCTCCAAGCTCTCTGAATTGTTCGAGCAGCACACAATTCTTTAATTGTACGAAGAGATTCTAAATTCACAGCTAATTGATTCCGTAGGAATAACTTAGTCTTGCCAAATTCATAGTCAACACATTTTTGAATTGGTGCCTGATTACCAAATGGTATAGTTATATTCATTAATATCCAAGCGACTGCTTCCCGTGAATCTGTTATTCTTTTCAGTTGTATTCTCTTCTCATGGTTAAGAAGAAATGAGTATCTGTAGAATGTTAGAAATCAAAAAAAGACGAAATACTAATAAGCAAAGCAAATTGACTTCCCTTCAGGTTTGCGCTTATGAAATGTTTAAAACAGCCTACATTCTTCTAAGTTATGCAATGATAAGTAGTGGGAGAATGTAATAAACAAATAAGACTTGTTTTGAAGTCTACGCCATAAGTTAGACAGTATATCATGCAATTCATTAAAACAAAGTGAGACAGTTATTAAGTAATAAAAACTAATATACATTCGATTTGATTTATACGTGTAAACTTGATAATTAAACTGACGCTAACAAGTTTCGTTATTATTATTATTATTGTTTCCTTTAATTCCTAGAGGAACATAGGGCTTCAGTCGCACGTCTCCATTGCGTTCGGTTCTCCGCTAAGTTTTCGCGTGGCTCCAAGTCTGCCCACACGCTTTCATCTCCTCTTCACATGACCTCCTCCAAGTCACCCTCTCACTGACGACCAACTCGCCGCTTCCCTTTCGGGTTCCACTCGAGTAATGGCTTGTCTAGTGATGTCACTTGATGGCTTCCTTAGAGTATGGCCAATCCATCTCCATTTCTTCCTGACTATTTGTTTCACAATCGGTTCCCGGTTGGTTCGCTCCCAGAGATCTTTGTTGCTGATCTTTTCTGGTCATCTGATCAACAAGTTTCGTTAGCTTATGTCATAAGATTCTATTTCCATGATTTACGAAGAGTGTCAGTATAGTTCAGACAATTTATGAAAGTAACACTGCCTGATTTATTGAGATGGGTCATATCAGGAAACATTTCTACATTTGTCTCTTGCTGTCAACTATTGCAGTTTATCTGACACTTAGCTTGAATTCAATATAAAGATGGTAACAACTACATACTGCTGATTTGGATTGTTCTGACGTTTTGTCCGTGAGCAGAAACATCACTTTATCGATTAATTTGTTCTTCAAAATGAACCTACATTTTGAAATTGTTAAGATTTTGTTGAACAGTTATAAACCGCTTACGATACAAGAACAATATCAGCATCCGAATTGTATCTATAGACCTGAGACGAAAACTACCCTTCAAAGTGAGTGGCTTTTTCGCATTTTGTTACGTCCTAAAAGTTGTTGCCTGACTCAAAATTTATCAACTCTATCTAGTTCACTTCTGTGACTAAAATCATACCAAAGACAATTATCAATGGCACACAGCAAATAATACATTTTCCCTAATTTCGCCTTTAGGTGTCACTACTGTATACCGCAAACAAGGCATTTTTGTGTAGCAGCAACCAGTGGATGCTGAAACTCCTTGTCATGTTTTCATTTTATTCTTGAGCTTCTAAAAGTACTTTACTGAGTATTTGCTTTGATTAGTGAAACCACACTAGTCCTAATTTGTACGTCTTGATCAGGGGAGACTAAATTGACACTCCAATAAGTATGAAGACTTAAAAATTCAGGTGAATTAACGGAAATGCCTTCTGCATATACAAAAATCCTGCTTTTATTTCTTTTTTAAACATAGTTATAGCTCATTTCATATTTAGAAATGGCTTACCGTTCAATGAAATACTGATAACTGACACGAACAGGAAAGCCAGATTTTCTGATTCTTACAGTTTCTAATACACCACCATAGCGAAGTTGATCCATAACAATAGCATCATCGAATACCATTGGTTCCTTTTTCATATTTGGTTTAATACAGCGTACAAAACTTGGTTTATTCCTAAAATACAGTTATATGATCAATATGAGGAAAATGTTCAATTAATTTCTGAAAAATAATTCATAGGTGTAATACACTGACTGGTTTACTTTATCTTTATTTTCGTAACTCGTAGACTGCACGCTTCTATACTGAAGGCATTTTAACTATGTATGCTTTCATTCAGAAGATAGTAAACAATAGTTAGCATTTTTAGGTATTGTCTGAATGAACTAGTACTCCTGTCTAATACATAAATGTGAAGACCATATATAGATTAGTCTGATGTATCACATTAGATGATAAATAATGATTTGTTATCAACTATTGTTAGACCAATTTATGCAAGCTGTTTCTTTCCTAACTGTGAGCATTTAATTACTATAATGCACACTTAGTCATACACATTTTTAAGATAGTAATGATGTTAATCAAATGAGGAATTCAGTATGGGCTTTATAGAAATTTTCCTTTCATCGGTTGGAGGATTTCATAATGAGCTGACATCAGTAAGAGGAACATTGGATAACCAGCTAGGAGTACTAGACAGCTCTTTCGTCAGCCTATTTTGGGATTCTTCACCAGCACACACCCACCACAGAAGGTTCGAACCCAGGACCTGGTTACAAGGTTAGCGAGCTCCTAGACCATTGAGCCACTGAGACCCGATCCAATGGTCCTTGAATTCTAACTTCTGCCGATTCAGGACATAGCGCGACCATTTCGCAATGTCTTCTTCGATGAGTTACTGTCTCATCTTCAACCTGCTGTACCCTACTGGTCACGGCTTCCCACTAAAACCCCAGGTTAACTACCTGAATAGTTCCAGTCACTAGTGAGCATTAGATTAATTTTCAAGTATTGGTTTTGTGGGAATTTGTTTGGTTGGTTGGGGGATTTCCTCATGTGCTGACATTGGATCGGGTCCCAGTGGCTTAGTGGTCTACGAGCTCGCTGTCCTTTTAACAAGAAGGTCCTGGGCTCGAACCTCAGTGGATGCATGCTGATGAAGAGTTCCAAGCTAGGACGAAACGGCTGTCCAATACATCGAGGTTTTCCAATGTTCTTCTAACTGATTTCAGCTCATAATGAAACCCTCCAACCAATTCAGGTTATCTTTAGAAAGTTTTACAGATAGAAGATAAACTTCCAAAACGCAGAATAAAATTTGGTACTGATTCTATGCATCTATCAAATTTAACTTTCAAAATTCAGTGAGTGAATTTAAACTATGGGGTTCCAAAAGAATGAATACAACAGCAGTCTTAAGCCGATCAACAATGCTGAAAAGAAGAGTTTGAAGGAAAATAGAGTATGTTTATAAAAAATTGTAAAAAAATATGTAAAACAAGATACCTTTTTTTAATATTGTGTAATAATAACTTCCATTTTTTATCTTAGCAGTGTCGACATTCATCTAGATGACAATTCTGTAGGGCTAGACTTAGAAGTGGATTAAGGTCATAGTTAGATGGGTTCGCGTTAGGTTGCACTGAAGTTAGGATTAGGATTACAAATTACTGAATAAGGCTTCTTTCAAGGTACTCCTCCAGATGAGTTTTTGTCTCTAGATTCTGAACAGCATTCATTGGTAATACTTAACCCTATTTCACTATCACAATCACTGTGTCACCTGAGCAAACTCTGGATGGTTGCTTCAATATAAACTAAATGAAGAGTTTTCGCCTCCATTAGAATGTTTTAAAGATAAAGGATAAACTTCTAAAACGGAGAATGAAGGTTTGTGCAAATTCGGAATGGTCACCTCAAGATCTTTGGTACTTGGAACACCATATACAAACCTTGCCATTTAACCGAGCAATGCTTTTTTTCAAATCAGCGAAACCAGCTACTAACACCGAAATGATCTACTGGGAAAAATGCTAATAACCAAACTGCATTTCAGTCTTTTGTTCAAATGAATCAACCATCACAAATATAGAAATACAGTCACCGAAAATTAAGTCACTGATATTTGTTCATTTGATTTCAGTTCCTAGACTTCCATATTTATCAACTTTAAGGGTGGTTTAATTGAAAATAATTTCGAACAATCTGATCACACATTTACTTGTCAAGTCAATATATATGGAAAAGTTAAATTAAACAAGGTGACAAAAAAAGAATTAAGAATAATTAACACAAACGTTTGGTAATCCAAAATAATTTCCTTAATCTATTGTTGTAGTTAGGTAAATCTATCCATATCCATTTCAAAAGTTAGAAGGCAACAGTTATAATGAAATTGTCCAAGGCATATAATATATTTCCCGTATTAAAACTACTACTGTTCTACAAATTAAATTGTCAAAACCATATTAGAATACAAGAACTGCAAAATGTTTACAGGAGAGTATAAGAATAACAACAAAGTTAACAGATTTTCGCTCTCTGCTGGAAAATTTGTCGCTAATATGTAACTGTACATGAAAGATGACAGTTAATAAAATTCTTCTCTCTTAAATTTGTTAATCACGCAATTTCTACCAATGAATTTTCAAATGATTTCGGTAAGGATTTAAAGAATGTGACTAACTTTGACGAAATATTATAATAAGTAATATTATATCGTTTCATAGTAAGTGAAGATAATGTCAAGTCATATGATTAGCGGGAGTTTGTTGTACTCAATGACTGAATGTACAATCCATCTAAAAAGATTTATTACCTTTATCAGAAATTGAAATCTCTGAAAGTTAATCTACTCCTTTGTTTCTCCTTATTGAAGTTGTGGTCTATCAGAATTAGCTACTTCTCAGCAACCTGTCAATCAGTAGAGCTTACAAGTTACTTAGTGTTCATATTTTGGGTGTGTAGAGATATAATTAAACCAATACTAGATTTCGTCACAAAACTAAATCAGATTGAAAAAACATTGAAAATTATTGAACAACAGTTAACTGTTTCTAATTGGTGGATGGTGACTAGCAGTGGAATCCAGGATGCGCATTAAGTCCTATTTGGTTCTCGTCACCTGGATGTACCTGCATTTCCCTGTGAGTGATGATATTCCCACTCACTGGGAAATGCAGGTAAATTCAGATGACGAGTCCCAAATAGGACTAAATGCGCATCCTGGATTCCACTGCTAGTCATCATCCTCAAATTAAATTCTAATTACATGCCTAGACATCGTCGAAGCATCTGCACAAGAAGCCGACATGTCAACCTGAGACCGAGCATTTCGGTCCAATCAATCGACGGGAAAATCTAAAATTCAATTACAGTTAACTGTTTCGTTGATGTTTTCTTGTATGAATGATATCAACAAGGATCAAATCTTGAACTCTCAGATCACAAGACAGACACGTTTAGTATTCAGTTAGTTGACTGTAATTGTGTAATGTTATAACTGTAACCCAATGCCACTGTGGTGATGAGATACAGACAATGGGTTCCAATGGAGTATTAATCTCACAGTAAGAATCATTGTATTTGTTGGTGTTAACGTCTGAATACTATTCCCACAGTTCAATAGTGCAATAACAACAGAGTACTATATATGTGAACATTCTATTTCATGTCGTTTAATGTAAACCAAAATCACACGCTCAGTGACTGGTTAAGGAATATAAACTGTATAGATATAAATAGCTGTTTGATCACTTGAAAATATACCTTGACTTCCGTGTCTTGCCTTCTTTTGTTACACCACGGCTATCCATTGTGATTGATAAGCATCTGTTTTCTCACACTACCCTGATTGACCTCATCGGTCTTTCAATTAACCAAATAACTGCGAATTCAAGATTGATTTGATGATATTAGATGGTTGGAGACAATCGGCACGAAGCCTTGGACATAGGTTCCGTGCTAGTTGGTAGTCGCCAGTCAGCAAGGCGTATCTGCAACCTTGAAGGAACTCATGTCCCTTCTGAGAGACGTTACCACTGAGCTATTCGGGCTCGCGATTGACCTCCTGCAAACCGGACTGATATAATTTACTCTCCACCAAAGAAAGGACTAAGACACATCACACTAGTTACTAGTGTCCAATCAAAGTATCCACTACAGTCCTACAGGAGGTCAATCGCAAGCCCGAATAGCTCAGTGGTAACGTCTCTGACTGCAGAACTCACTGGGTGACGCGGGTTTGAATCTCAGAAGGGACATGAGTTCCTTCAAGGTTGCAGATACGCCTTGCTGACTGGTGAGTGCCAACTAGCACGAAACTTATGTCCAAGGCTTCTTGCTGATTCCCTCTAACCATCTAATATCATCAAATCAATATGCACCGTAATGGCGAGCTATCTAGAATGGTGGTCACATTGCAAACCTGACTGACAGAATTCACTCTGCACCAAAGAAAGGGCTAGATACATCACACTAGTTAATAATGTCCGATCAAAGTACAAATCTACCACCTGAGTATTAATCTACTGCTTATTACTATACAATATCTATTCATGACGATTTTCTGCAATACAGTTAGTATTATTTAGATAATACACTACTGTTAATATTCATATTATATTTGTTTCTTTAGTTAGATAACATGAAGTTGCTGACAATGAAAATATACTTGAAGTATACCTTTTACTTAGATTTCTCTGTGTTTCTCAACAACTTTACCAAATGAAAATGAGAATGAAAACTCTTACATTAATGTAATAGCAACAATGCCTTACTCTCTTTTTTTAGCATCTGAAAGCAAACGTTTAATACTTACGCTCTCATTTTCTCCATTAACTGTTGAAGTGAATTATTCATTGTTGTCAAAACCATAGATGTTTTTAACTTTGGACCTGAACCATTTACCCCGGTACGTTGAGATTGTATATTACGAAACATTTTTGCAACTGATGGATTTGTACTTTTTGTCAATAAAGTTAATAATTCACTACGAATTTTTTCACGATTTTTATTAACAAATCCGTGTACCTAGTAGACCAAATTTAAAAAAAATTTTATGAATATGGTTATCAGTGATGTAGTCAGTCAGTCATTTGTTTTTAGTTGATTTCAACCACGGTTTCACTGTAAGCAATTTTTTAACACATTTGTAGGAAAGAAAATATTCGGCATAAAATTTCACATTACAGGTCCTGTTCACTGTGCTGGAAGTTCAACTGAAAAAGCCGAAAATCCAACTTGCTAATTATGCTTCTGATGACCTACTATTTATTTACTGGTAGATTTATGTCATAACATGTTATAATTAAGCATCAGACAAAACATCTTTGAATGTTGTTAGTGACTTCAATTGAAGTGGTAAAATAAATTCATTCAAAAGAATATGCGAACTAAAATCGATCCACAATGAGTGTTTAAAAGTACAAAGAGTGAACATCGCCACGAATGCGATAAATACATTTCATAAACTGATGAGTCGTCGAAGGTAGTTTTAACCCTTCATAAATTCTGTCTTACAGTTTAATTAGGAATTAAATATAGTGCCAATCAATCAATAATACAAATAAGCATCTATTCTTAAAAGGAATGCGGCCTGGTCAAATCTAATGTTTACAAAATGAATAGTCCGTAGTGAAGTTTGACTGAAATGTTCAAATAAAATTTGGTTCTCCGGACACTATGAATATTATTATTATTTCCTTTAATTCCTAGAGGAACATAGGGCTTCAGCCGTGCGTCTCCATTGCGTCCGGTTCTCTGCTAGAGTTTTCACCTGGCTCCAAATCTGCCCACACGCTTTCATCTCCTCTTCACATGACCTCCTCCAAGTCACCCTCACACTGACGACCAACTCGCCGCTTCCCATTCGGGTTCCACTCGAGCAATGGCTTGTCTAGTGATGTCACTTGATGGTTTCCTCAGAGTATGGCCAATCAATCTCCATTTCTTCCTGCTTATTTGTTTCACAATTGGTTCCTGGTTGGTTTGCTCCCAGAGATCCCTACTGCTGGACTTTTCAACTGATCGATTTGCCTTGCTAGATTAAATTATATGAAGAACGCCACTGGCGAACCTTGCCTCAAATGAGTTAAGTGCTCATCAGGTTTTTGAAGTAATTTTTGGAACTGATGAGCACTACTCATTAGAGTAGGTAGGTTTACGGTATGATGCAATGTTTACTGTATAGTCTTTTCAATAATTTCTCTTCAAGTCCTTAAAATTATAAAATATAATATTTGTTGTCGTTACAGCTATGCGGTGAATACATCTTTTACGTAGAATAACAGATCAGTTATGGGGTGTCAAAATAAATAGTATTTGTGTGAAAAACGTGCTAGGCTGAAATCGATTACGATTACGATCTCCTCCATGTTATCCTGGCACTGACGACCCACTCGTCGCTTCCCATCCGGATTTCACTCGAACAATGGCTTGCACTGTGCGCGATGTCATTCGACTGCCTTCTCAACGTATGTCTGATCCATCTCCACTTTCTCCTACATACTTGTTGAGCAATTGGTTATTGGTTGGTTTGTTGCCTGAGTTTCTTGCTGTATCGTACACTAAACTCACTTTTGGTTTACGCATTCTTCAAAAACAGGAATTAACCATACTTTTCAATGTGTCCACCTAAATTGTCACACAGTAGTAACATATTTACGATTGTATTCGTCTAAATAATACACTTTTACTATTACTGCAAAACATCGGCCAACAGAAACACCTATTTAACTCAAGTTTTCTAAACTCGCTTGAATTTATTTGATATTACAGTGTACATTTCTTGAGTTCCGAGTGGAAAACATTGCTTCAGAAAAAAATCACCACTATAACGAACAAAACGTTAAATACTGAGATTATAATAAAAACAGTTTTAATTTAAACATTCTCAGAGACTTCATCTGTTGCAGAGTACTTGAATTAATATCTTCAAATTCACTGTGTTCATTTCAATTTAAACATTCTCAGTAGTACCGTCTCTTCAACCTTTTTAATTACCCTAACTTTAAAACCTTTATTGTGATTATCAGAATATATGACATTACAGTCTACTTCTTTGTAAAACTTTTCTTCTTGGCCTAGCATAATTCTGTATCAGAAGCTGTTATGAACTGCTATTTTAAATATGAAATATCAATCAATATGAATGCACATATGTACAGAAACTGAACATCATTCTATTGGCTTACATCATAAACAATTTCACCGGCAAAATGAACAATAGTGAATGAACTATTTCCATGTACTTTATTCATTTTGAAATTTGGATGCTTTTGATGATGATGTTGACACTGTCGTAGAAATGATTCATCAGTTCCCTAAAATACAAACCAATAATGTAGAATAATTGAAGAATAGAATAGGCTATCATAATTTGAAGAAAAAAAAGATTAAAGTGTCTTTCCATGTGACCTTGTAAGCTTGCGTGTATAGTCGAGGAGATCTGTGTTGCTCTCAGGTTCAAAAACCTTACTGTTCAATGATGCACTGACTAAAACTGTTAACAAATCAATTGTTAAAATCACATGTGATCATTCGGAGGAACTTATAACATTAAGTTTATATATATAAAGGTTTAACGTTACAAGTAGAGAAAACAGCCTGGTTTTGTTCAGTATATCTCTTCTACAACTCACGCACTAACATGAATAATAAATTCACGGTATGTATAGTTATTATTATTACTATTACTATTATTCCCTTGGGTTCCGAGTGGAACACAGGGTTTCAACAGCACATCTCCGCTTTACTCTGTGGCCTGCAGTCCTCTTTAACTGTTTCTACGACTGCCCATAGGCCCTCATCTTCTTCTCACATTATCTCTTTCATGCCAACTTGCCGTTTGCCACTTGGGTTCCACTCGAGGGCCTGGCGCACGGAAAATATGAACCTGAATGAAACACAGTGGCATGTGGTAATGGTAGCATGTTTTCCTAAACTTCCCTTTTAAAAATATAATTGCATTTTTAATAAGCTAAAATAAATTTGAGAAGCGAAATGCAACTAATTGATCACTTCTTCATTCCTTCAGTTCCGAATACAACGCGAGACTTCAAACTCTCAAGTTTTAGTACTTATTATTATTATTGTTTCCTTTAATTCCTAGAGGAATTTAAGGCTTCAGCCGTGCGTCTCCATTGCGTTCGGTTCTCTGCTAGAGTCTTCACCTGGCTCCAAGTCTGCCCACACGTTTTCATCTCCTCTTCACATGACCTCCTCCAAGTCACCCTTGGACGTCCAACTCGCCGCTTCCCTTTCGGGCAATGGCTTGTCTAGTGATGTCACTTGACGGTTTCCTCAGAGTATGGCCAATCCATCTCCATTTCTTCGTGCCTATTTGTTTCACAATCGGTTCCTGCTCAGTTGGTCCACTCCCAGAGATCCCTGTTGCTGATCTTTTCTGGCCAATTGATCTTGTGTATTGAGCAAAGACAACTGTTAATGAAGGTCTGTAGTTTGTTTGAGATGCTCTTTATAACGCGCAGTGCAAGTCTCCGATCCGTATAGTAGCACTAACTTCACATTGGAGTTGAAAATCCGGATCTTATTTTTGATGCTGAGTGTTGTTGACCTCCACACAGACTTGACAGTATTATTCTTTTTTCCTTCTCGTTTCCCAAGGGAACATAGGGCTTCAAGCTAGTGACTTGAAGTTTCTGTAGCAGTGTCTATTTTACAGGATGGGGTTGCTAGCCTCATGCCCAACCTTTCCTCTTCACCAGCATTATTTCTGGCTTAGCGAAGTAAAGGAGTGCATAGGCCAGGAATCGAACCCGAATCTCGCGTGTAGAACCCCTGGAACACTAAGTCATCGAAATAAATAGTTGTCGAGGAAAATGGCAGAAAATCAGCCGGTGAAATACCACTATGATAAAAACACAACAGTATGATTGATTCCCAAACATCCAGTCTTTGAACTGTTTATTTTAAATCCAACTACCATATATTTCTCCAAGTATGTTACAAATTCAAAAGCTAAGATAACAAAGATGAACTCATGAAACGAAACTGTTAGCTTCAACTTATACTAATCTACTCAGAAAGAAGTTTGAGTAGGAACAAACTGAAGTACACTTCAGTGCCTTTAAGTTATTTTACACTAGCATTTATATCACCCGAAAAAGGGAATTTTAATGCATCTCAGGCTTCGCACAAATACTACTTATAATAAGTAGCTGCATGAACAGAAAATGAAAAGCTATGAAACATTCAGGTTCTATTAAATACCATATTAAGAACTACTATTTTGAAACGGTGTACTTAATTGCTACTACATGTCACAAAGAGAAGATGAAACTGTGACTGAATTGATTTTTTTTAATTAACCTACCGTTGCTAAACTGGCTTCATCATTACATATATGCATTATTCCATTCGGTTTACCAGCTATCAAATCAATAATTGGCTGATTATTAGGAAATTGAACATATTGCCAACTAATATTTTCTGAACGATATTCTTCTTGTTCCAATTCAAAAATGTAGTGATTAAAAAATTGTTGTAGATTTTCATTTGTATAATTAATACAAAATTGTTCTAATGAATTACTTGGAAGATTCTAAATAAATACAATTACACGAAGTAGACATTATTAAAAATGATATCTAAATATACATAAATGGGCACAAAATTAAACAAATTTCTGCAAGTTAACTACAAATAAAAGTTCAATGAATCGAAATAAAATTAGCATCAACTCTGGATTAATTTTAAATGACTGATTGACACAAAGAACAGATTTGTTCATTGATTATGTAAGGGTTTGTCAACTAGCTAATTAACCACATTTATTATCCAAAGTTTGATAATGCTACGAAGCTGCTCATACACTAAATAAATAGGCCAGGAATCAAGTATCAGGTAGCTCCATTAAGCTGACTGATTGAAGCTAAATAACAGTTATAACAAATAAATAAATAAATACTTGAAAACTGATCTGATGCTCACTAGCGACTGGCCTTATTCAAGCAGTTACATGGGGTTCTAGTGGGAAGCCGTGACCAGTGGGGTACAGCAGTTGAAGGTAACGCAGTAACTCATCGAAGAAGACATTGCGACGTGGTCGAGTTATGTCATGAATTGGAAGAAGTTGGATCGGGTCCCAGTGGCTTAATGCTCTACGAGCTCGCTGGCCTTGAAACCAGAAGGTCATGGGTCCGAACACCGGTGAATGCGTACTGCTGGAGAGTCTAAAACTAGGACGAAATAGCTGTCGAGTACTCCCAGCTGGTTTTCCAATGGTTCTCTAACTGATGACAGCTCATTATGAAATCCTCCAACCAAACCAATACTTGAAAATAAATAACAGACTGCACCTGAAGCCAGTTCTTAGGTTTATGTTGTGTTTTGACGACCATTTATTACACTCAAACACAGTACATACAAATGAATAAATGTTCTTGTAGCATAGATCACGAAAGAAAAACTACTTCTGTTGTTTGTATAATGAAGGCACATGTGGGAATTTAGCCAAATAACCAACATATCACTGAGACCAATAAGACTGTTAGCAGGTTTGATAAATAAAGTGATCTAGATAGTTTTCCACTTCACATTCCTGTTATCATAAGTCCAAATAATCCATCTTTGCATACAAAAGAAGTTTGTTCAACCTTTGTCTCTCCCTTGGCCTAAGTAAATTATAATTGAAAACTTCCCACCATTTCTTATTTTCCATTTCCTTCATACTTATATAATATTTATTTAAACTCTGATTATCTATGCTCTTCACCTTTAGTATTGTGTAACTTCTAAGGTGTGACCTAATTTATTTATTGATTTGTTTACATAAACATACTACCTTCGTTATTCTTATCACCACCTGCATGAACACCTTGTACTTTTGTTAACACATGAGACCTTATTGTCATTAAATTTGCAATAATTATAATCATCCTTATAAGTGGTTTAGAGGCCTGAGGGTGTTGACGTTCACGGATAGTACGATGTATACCAACGCAAGATCTAATATCCACAACCTCAATGGCATTCGTTCCACGCAGACCAAAGACAAAGCAAAACACCAAAACTGATCGTCCAAATTACAAAGTATATTTCGGGACCAAATTTGAGTGCGAAGTTGATCGTGCACAAACAAACGAACGTAACACGATGGCGTGCTAAATGGCATGGATGCTTTGCCATATGCCTTGAGCCAAATAAGTCAACTTAAACAGTGAGGATCAGCATCCAACGTTCGGCGATGTATGATGTGGCTAATAATATTGGGGAATTACCTACCGCTACACTGGCGTTCAAAACATTTATTATTATTACTACTACTTTTTGACCCGCAAAGTTACCATCATTGGTTGCCTTTTAATATATAAAGCTATGTGAATCAGATTAAAGCCTGAAGAAAATCTAACTGAAAGCAATATTGTTCACTTATATATCATGTTCCAGTCTTAACAATGGGAATATTTAAAGATATTATTTCTGTTCAGGGTAGTAGTTGCGGCTTAACTGTATAAACTTTTGCGACATTTATATCTATAGTTGTTCAGCTTCTCTTTGAGTAAATCTATTAAAGTATACCAATTTCTTGAAAACAATTTAACCCTCCAATTTCATATAATTCGTCAATTATATTCACAATATTAAAGAGTTTAACGTTAGGAAATTTGATGAAAGAAAATCCCCTCATAAAGTTAATCTACACATAGATTTTTAATTTTTTTATTGATTTGTTTCTAAAAGTGACAACTGAGAATTGTTAAACACTAGGTGGGAAGTATCTCATTTGCTTATAGTCAGGTAATTTTTCAAACTCAAAAATATGTGGAAAAAAATAATGAAATTTAATGACAGTCATTAATATATAAAGATTTCATGTTTATTGCTTTCTCGACTGTCGTCATTTTTAGTGAATGATACTGATGACTGACTCAGTTTAAACAGAAGTTGCACTAAGTGCCTACTTTCTTGTTTTTTTCCCTTGCTTTCCTAAACACATTGCAATACTTCAAGCCTAGAAGTTTCACTAGCTATGGATTTGTTTTCATGAACTGAGGCAGTTAGTCCCACGCCCAGCTTCACCTCCTTCCCAGAATTACTACTGACAAGTAAACTAAGCACAGCTTAGAAATGTATCGACCGGAAATAATACGTTGACCTCCTCTACATGACTGGCAAGCGCTCTACCAATAAGCTACTAGCGCATTGAAATCACCCTACTCAAATAAAAATCAATGGATAAATTAATCATAATCAAACAGAGACATGAGAATAAAAAATAAACTAAATGTACCTCAAAACCATAAATATCCAACAAAGCGATTGCACGTATTGATGATTTTGTATCAGGATCCAAATAGTCGGATGGTGCAATTTTCACGTTGATTGCTTCAACTAATCTATCGAAAAACTCTACATAAAGACTTTTTGCAATAGAATCACGATTAACAATTGCACCAGCAGCATTGACTGGACTCCAGAGGCTATCAATAGATGTTTCCTTAAAGTAATATAAATTAAAGTTATATATGTAAATGCGTTATTTGTATACTTTTAGAAATATAAACAAATTTTCTCTATAAAAGTTAAATTCATACATTTGCATAGTTCACCGAAATTTACAGCCTAATTCAAAATAGCTTAGGCATAAATCGAAATCAAATATGTAGCAGATTGGGCTGCAAGCCAGTACCTTAGGGATAAGGTGTCTGCCACAGCACTTTATCATCTTAAAATTCAGACTGTAAGTATGTATCGTTGGAGAGCATCAAACTAGATTGCGCTGAATGCTTAATACCCCTCGGTCCCTGTTGGTTCTCTCTAATTGACACCAATTTTCAGATAAAGATTGATTAAAATTGGTCACATTCCCAGAAATCTCATTTTTAATCTGTGAATTATGAGTATATTTCAAATATAGTCACTTAGTGCAAAGGAATTTATCTAAATAGGTACACAATAACTCGATAAAGGTCATAGCTGTATTAACTTGGGGATTCTTAGACGGTTAGTAAAGCTAAAGTTATTCTTTATTGAAACATCAGTAAAAGAGACAAGAAGAATTTGAAATAACCACACGTCAACGAATTTTGCAGCATTTCATTCCTTCACGTGATAATGCACTAAAGTCTAGTGAAAAGGAATACTTTCTATGATATTTAAGAAACGTTACAAATTCGCTGGAATGTTTTCGAATCCTGCGTCAGTTAGCTGTAGTTGTATAGACTCTTAGAACCGAACTCTTCAATGATACCACAATATTAACATGATTTTACTGTTAGTCACTACAAACCCATTAAAAAACGTTGCATGGTTAGTGTCGGTTGGTAGATATCGAGCTGTAGACAAAAATGGTTAACTGACGTCAACTCCCAATACCCAATTCTCAGACACCACATCCACAAGGCAAACGCGCTGAAAGCTATCAACAGTGGGAATGTGGTGTTGCTAAACCAACTCATTAACACTATTGTAGATAGACACTTGGATTCCCGCAAGACATTAGCAAATATTATCCTGTCAGCCTCTGAACATCCTCGTCATACCCAGCTCTCTCCTTACAATTCATCGGGTAGAACCAGAAGCAACTATAGAAGACTGTATACTCAGACGAATAAGTACAAAAACTCTACAATACCTTATTTAGCACATATCTTATGTGATGAGGAAAGTGTTAGACAGGAAATTACCAACTTACTGTGGAACTCTAAGTAAACGGTATTCTCTCTTTTTTGTTCTCATTGTTACACTGCCGTTAATGTTTTCACTTGATTTAACTTCATATTCACTTCTTATTGAACAATATTACTAATGTAAATGTCCTATTTCAATTATTGCCCATGTAATGAGTAAATTAGATGCAATATTGTATTACAAGCTGAAAATTCCATATCTGTACCAAAAGTCCTGCTTATAATAAAGCTATTATTTATTCATTATTATTTTATTCCTTTACGTTCCCAGTGGAACATAAGGCTTCAAGGTAGAGGCTTGAAGTTTCGGTAGCAGTGGTGTTTATTTTTATGGGATGCGGTGGTTAGCCTCATGCCTAACCTACCCTCTTTACCAGTCTTGTTACTAGCTTATCGAGGTAAAGGAGTGCGTCGGCCGGGAATCGAACCCCGGACCACATGCGTTCTTGGTGAGCATTCTGCCGCTGTGCGACCGACGGAAGCTATTATTATTACTATTAATTTTCGGACACATCACTTAGATTCACCTTAAAAATACAAAGAAGCAATCTTTTTCTTACAAATATTCGAACTAATCAATTATTGTTTTGGTTCTCAGATTAATATATGAAATAAGTCACTTCTGGTGGAATCAAAATCTTACAACATTCTATGGAGATGAATAACTCTAAATGACTGATAATAAGAACTTACTGTTAATTTCATAGTAATCACTTTGATAAGTTCATTTACATCAACACCAAGCTCTGAAGCTGCAATTTCAGCAACATTCGTATTTATAATTGACGTTTTATCCTAAGAAAAATTAAAAATAACGGAATGATTTGTATCATTTCATAAACGTGTTATTAATAAGGCTAACTGACTATTGAAAAATAACAAAGAAAATAAGTAAAGATTTATTGATATAAATTATGACTAATTCTACTAATAAGTCATGTGCATCATGAATTTACTTAAGTTACCCAAAGTTACATAAAATAACCTCGTCTTCATTGGAAAAGGATAACAAGATTTTCAGGTACATTTCACTGTGTGAACCACAATTTCTTTGGTAGAATTACTCAGATTTTGCTTTGATTCTAGTCACTTTCTTTCAGTTAGTTTCCTAAAGTGCATCTGCAGATGTATGAAACAAACTTTGTCCATGAAAACTACTGATACCGACAGTTTTTCAAAGTCAGATTAGGTGGTTCATAGTTGAAGCTTAATATGCATAGACTTAAAGACACTAACCATCGAGTAATTTAGTCTAAACCATCCACAAATCAAATTTAGAATTTGCAAATTAATTCGCAGTTTATACAGTTCGAGATGAAATTTCATCAGTTCCCATGGAAACCGAATTTATTCAGATCACTATGTGAGATCTGCTTGATACTATAAATGGTAATCACGAAACCAATCATAAGTGCATAAACCTTTACACTACTGACTGACTGACTGACTGAGACGAATAGTTGTCTACCACTCACATCAACCAGTAGCGCTTGTTAGGCAGATTGAGTTGATACGAACACCGGCAGGTGTTTCCCTCGTTTGGGCCGAGCTCATCGGAGGCGTACCCAGTTTTGACTCAGCTCAGAGAACACGGACTACTGACTGATGTGAATGGCATACCGCTACTCACCTCAGTCAGTAGTGTATACTTTTATGAGCCGTTAAGATTTTATATATATACTTCATTAAATATTTTAAAGTAAAAAAATGAATGAGATAATGAATCTGAGTAATCTACATCAAAATATGACAATTTTATAAAAGCACGTTAATTGTTCACAGTAAACAGAAAGTCTAACCTTGTCATGATCACTTTTAAAATTAATATTTCCAAGATGTAATACAGCAGATACTACTCGAAGACATAAATCCATTTCATCTTGTGGTAGACCTAGTGTACGCCAACTTTCCAGTAGCATTGATAAGCCATCAGGATCTGAATGACTTGTAAACGTACATCTTGATCCCTGACATTGAAATTAAATACAGAATCAATTATTAATATTCGCAAGAATGTGTATTTCTGCAGTTACGTATTCATTAAAATAGATGCTGAAAGGACAAATCAAATCAATAAAGCTTCGAAGAATCCATATTCAGGACTCCAGAAAAAATCAGGCTCAAGATTTTTAGCTTCCAGCTATTCTCACATTAATTAACTGGCTACATACAATAGCATCAGTACTTTGAAAGTTGATGAAAACAGACCAAACTGCTTTCTGGATAGTGTGTATACACATCTGAAGAGGCTTAACCTAATATGATGAAATGTTTAGTAGTCATCGATTTAAATGATTCTCTAGCTGATATTAATTCTTGACAAAACCTCTCCTTCAATTAGTAACATAATATTCTGAAGCATTTTAACCAGTTTGTTAAAAAATTATGGACACATGGTGAAATTTGAAGGCTGTAACAAAATATCATGAGATTCATCGTATAGCCAGTGTCTATTCTCTTCAGAATCAGTACATAATTTTTGTACTACTGTCGATACAATGATTGTAGAATCACATTATTCGAAGTATTTTTAGAAGACTTCTTCAACCCGTCTCAAAAGTACCTGTAGAAGCCAGTAAAATCGCTTAATTCGATATTATGCAAACCAAAAGATACAACAGAAAAAGGAGATAAAATTAATACCATTTACAAAATAAATTGTATGAAATGCAACAAGCATTACATTGGCCAAAGTGGGCGTCCCCTTCGAATCAGAATCCAAGAACACAAATCAGCCGTGAAAAGACACGACATGTATTCTTTAGTATCAATGCATAAAGACAATTATGGTCATCAATTTGATTGGGATAGTGTCAAAATCTTAGACAGAGGAAACACTAAAAGTGCCAGGGAATTCCTAGAAACCTGGTACTCAAGCGAAAATGCAATTAACAAACACGTTAATATAGATGAAATATACCAACTAATAAAAAGTAGATCAGGTGACCAGAAAGTTTAAAATCCAATCCAATTCAATAGAAAATGGTCAATACGTATGTAAAGATAGTTACCAGGAGACGCAATTATATCACTCATGAAAAAATTTAAATCATTTCACTTTGTGCTAAATATGGCGCTGAAGATGTTGTCCAGAAGGACAACGAAAGCTTCGCAACTGAACCAACCAGCTCAGAGAACACTATTAATTGCAAAGCCTTCATTTTAGTATAACTATAGGTGAATACTTTCTTGTTAACCAGATCCTTGTCAGTGGATATCAGTGACCTTATTTTAAACTTAAATTTTTTATTTTTTATTTTTATTATAGCTTGATTCCACACAGTATTTATGGTACAAGTATGGAATTTTCAGCATGTGATATTGGTAGCTCGAATTTAGTAGGCCAGTCATTTACATCAGGTGTGTGTCGGCGGGGGACCGAAGCCCGGACCATGTGCATGATCGGCGAGCGTCCTAACCGCTCTGCCACCGATGCACAATGTGACAGAAATAGTTTCTTAGTGATATCTGGAGCAACTAAAATAATAAACTGTACTAAATGATTTGAGGAAAGAAATTACACTATCAGTTCGCTGAAGCAACACATCAGTTAACAATTATTTGAAGCATTCAAAGAATAAGCATTATATCACAAGCATGAGGAAATGATAAACTAAATAAATATTTGTAGCTACTTACTAGCAAGAATTGTCAGTGAATTAAACTGTTTTCAGGCTAAGTAGATTTTGTGTTCACATTTTTACTTAACTGGAATCTATTGATAACCCATGAAATTTAAATTTTTCTGATACTTTTATTAGTATGTGTGCATAAGGGGTTCAGTGGTTAACTACTTACCAAACACACATGCGGTCAGGTGTTCGGTCCCCAGTCAACGCATTCCCTAAACTCTGCTTAACCGGTAGTAAGTCCAGTAAAGAGGGAAGTTTTGCCATGAAAGTAGCAACTCAATCCCGTAGAAACAACTAATGCTACCGAAACTTCAAAGCTCAATGCTGAAGCCTTCGGAACGCTAAGTAATAATATACACATGTAGTAGTATATTGCGTTTTACATATGGAAAACACTCTCCTATCAGATATTTTTTTTATTTATACCTATCAGTCATACCTATCCTTTAAAAATTATTACATGTTCAGTGGTTTTCTTACCCAGCATACTTAGTCGGTATTTAGGAAGTGCATTAGCTCTGCTTAAAAACAAATACTTGTTGAAAAATTTTCAGTAAATTTCAGCAATCATTTTAAAGCATGTATATTTGTATATATCGAAAACCGTGAAACATAGTACAATTTCCTTATCTTCTTGCTAGATCCTTCATTAACGCGTGCTGACAATCGCGGTTGGAATCGATTCTAGAACGCTAAGGTCTCATAGTGACAATACCATTGCTTAGTAATATACATGGGTGGGGTCCTCGGGACGGTAAGAACCAATGAAGGATGGAAACAATTGGTGTTATGGCTCAAAATCGTTCTCAATGGCGCAGATGCATCCGCTCCTTGTAACTTATAATACTCAATAAAACTATATTTTTCTCCCATATTACTATTCTTTTTGCCTCATATCTCTGTATACTGTCTCTACTTTGCATTTCTTTTCACTTTCTTCCCTTGTCTTGTGTACTGCATAGAGTATGGTGACTCGAACTGCTGCACATCCGTGCAAAGTTCTATATTGAAACCAGTCAGTCAGTTGGTCAGTAACAGAAATTCATGCAAGACGTCTTGACTTTAAATGATTCTCTGTCTTGTCTTTAGACAAGATCTAAACCTAACTTGAATTCGATGAATTCTAGAAGAAACTAATCAGTCAAAATATTAGTGGAAAAACACTCATAAGTTGTAAGATTCTTATATTCTGCTAATTATGAATCACGTCTTATTTCCTTTACAGTAATTCACTTTATTTTATATATTTGTAAACTTTTACTCAAAATTTGTCTGAATAAACTACAGTATTTTTCTTCCATTACTTAACATGAAAAAAGAAAAGATGATTGTATCAAAAATTTCTACTATTAGCTTACCTTCACAAGATATTGATAGTCTTCTACATTCTTAAGATGATGTTTGGCCTTGCTTTCATTGTCTAGTGAACTCAATAGTTCATAGAAAACATGATAGTTGCGTTCTTTCTCAGGCTATTAAAAAGCAATCAATAAAAATACATATCTACATATGTGTGCAAAAATTGAGATTTAGTGAATACAGTCTATAACTTTATATCTATTTTATTAACTAAACAGAATGGCAGTGAACAGAGGAGCCTTTTACAATGATTCATAATGCCTATGAACGCAGACTTCAATATAAGATGTCTTAAAACCTTGAACTTATTTTCTAGCAATCTTAGTAATATATCAGCTTTTCTACGCTGATGTTAACTATTCCAGGTGTCTCCAGTATTCGACTGGAGAGTATGTGATACAATTTGAAATATATATATATATATATATATATATATGAGATCAAATTTGAAGTGAATGTATCTTATATGTATGGAAAAAATTACATTCACAGACTTAAAGATAACTTCTTTTAATAGGCTAGATCTCTTCCAGTAAATAAAAACAAATGCATACTGGATCCATATCTTCAGTATTCACTGCTAAAGTTACTGACAACACTAAAACAACTTATTAGCTACTGATAATTGAACAAATATACATTTTATAAAAGTGTGCTGAAAAGAAAATGACGGCAAACAATGTGAAGTTGAATGGATAAAGGAATCTACTATAGTGCAGTATGGAAGCTGATTAGCATCATTAAGTCTGAAACTAGAATAACTTATAACCTCAAGCATTATTACGCAAAATATAATGTATTTCATTGTTATTGCACCACCTAGCCTTAATTCTTCAACTTACAGTCTAACTGAGAAACTTTTGTTCACCAATGGGAATCAAAAAGTGACCCTAAATATTGTTACTCTTATTATTATTTAATTATTAGCCAACACTGTTAAAAATCTTTAAAACACTACTCGAATGTAAGAGTTTACCAGTATTCTATTCATTTATTTTTTATTTTGATTTACAGCTTGATTCCACACCGTATTTTCAGTACAAGTGTGGAATTTTCAGCATGGATATCGGTAGCCCAAATTCAGGCCGACCATAGATATCGGGTGTGCGCCGGCAGGGGATCGAACCCCGGACCATGTGCATGGCCGGCGAGAGTCCTAACCACTGTGCCACCGACGCACATTTGAATGTTTGCAAAACGTGAATAACCGTTAAAAAATTCAAATGTTTTGAGATGACACATGACAATTGCTTTTCAGGCATTAGATTTTCAGGAAGCGCTGTGTCACGCATTAACATTTTGATAAAATTATAATCACTATCTTCCCTGTATTTTTATTTTACGCTTCATGCAACAAATAGAATACTTTTACCTTAACCTTACTAAGTTTTCAAGAATTATAGCTTTACTGAAAATATGTAAGCAAGAATCTTCAGTTCAGTAATTAGTCTACCTAAAGACCAGTGGTACCTGTAAAAACAACTATTGCATACGAACCCAATTAATAAGTGTCAAATAGGATGACAAAAGATATCCAAAATCGTTAAAGCAGATGTGGAAAAACTTAAAAAACTATAAAATCTTATAGGGGATAAAAAAATAATCGTGATATAATCATTAATATAAATACAGTACGATTTGTCAATTACAATTTATCTCACCTGACCCACTATTCTAGATTTTTCTAGCAAAAAGTTAGTGATTTTCGCTCCAATTATCATTGATCTGAGAAAGGAGAAGGGAATGAATTTATGTTAGCTGTGTAACATTTAAAGTACAGTCCGTTAGATGAAACTTCGAAGGAAGTAAATGAGACTTCTAAATTCCAAATAAAATTATCTTATCAATTTAATGTCGCTATTTACAGGAACAAAATAGTCGATGACTTCGCATAAAGGCAATTAATGATCTTCAAATTCATACTTTTATCATGCAAAGGGTAATTCTTCACCACATTTTATACACAACAAGCTATCTGTAATACCGACTTCAGCTAAGCTTTATTTAAAGTTTTATGCTTCCCTGAGGAAACGTAGAGTCATTACTGAATAGAAGATGAGAGTTTTGTGTCAACGCATTCTTTAAATTGGATGATTTAATTTCAATGCTCTCTCTCTCTATTCTTGTAGAAAACATCAACAGATTTGCCTTCAAATATTTTCCTCATCTCACCCGTATATTTCTTATACTTACAATTAATGAGCGCATTTATTGTAACGAACTAAATTTCTATTATAAGTAATTACGACTGTAAAGCATGGTAAAAACGTCTTGGGAAGGAAATATCCTTTTCTTGAGCAACTCTTTACTCGCCTATGAGAGCTTTCTTCGAAAAACGCAGTATTTTTGTAGAGATTGGTGAATAAATCTGTAAAAATATGCAGGATTCAAACTGTTATACTTTCAAAATACACACGTAAAAGAGAAGAAAATGCATTTAGTAACAACACCATAGAGGAAGACAAGTAGAGGGAAAAAATAAATTGATGAATAGTAGCGACTTTGTCAGTAATTTCGAATGTGACATAAATGGAGTACATTCCCACCAATTTTTGTGTTGAAAGCTTGTGCAGCCTAATCAGGAATTCTATACAGGTAATGCTGATTCTAGAACCACATTACCAAGGATAATTTTATCGGATTTCAATACCTGTGTTTTTAAATTTACCAATATTGCTTTTCTTCATCACCATTCACCAACTAAAAAAGGTCTGGCTGACTATTATTTAAACTTCTATTCCCTTCTGAAACACGGACAGTGTCTTTCAGTTGGATTTACCACTTCATTCAACAGAATTGCGTCAACATAACTAGATAAGTGTTTTGAAAAAACCTTTACATTAAAGCACAAACTTTGTCCCATTTTTTCTACCTTACTCTATCTGTTACCACAGGGACATATTCTCATACTTCCTACAGGCTAATTGGACCAAATAGCCCTTTTAAACACTTATAGGTCTGGCTTGGAGCATTTATCACTAAAAGTGGAAAGTATAAAAAGACCTTGTGCAGTTTGCGAAATAACTCATCTGGGTGAGGTGAACAGTAATAAAGTTAGAAATAAAATTAGGAATAAGATTGATTATCGTTATTTAGACTCCAACTCAGCATCTGTGGTTCAATGATAGAGTGCTTGTCAAACAGTCCGATTCCCCATATACACACTCCCAAGCCTCACCCAGTTTACTAGCCTGTAGAAGGCCCTCAAAAGTGAGAGGGTTGTTTGTGAGGTTAGCAAACCTACCTAGTAAAAATAAGATCATCGCCACTGAAACATCAAAGCTTGAAGCTTTGCAGTCTATTGGGAATGCGATGAATGAAGAAAGCAACCTTACATACTACCTTTTTCCCAATTCCAACTTATTTTTCTTCTCTTGTTATTACTCTTCTGAAAGCATCAGATGTTTAAATAACTTTGTTGGTGCGTCAATATATTATTACGACGGGCTCTAACCGACCTCGTCTGTATGAGTGGCAAAGATTACAACCATCTACAAATCTGGTGGTAAGAGGAAACTCTAAGCTTGGCTAAAGTAATAAACCCCTACAAGTCAGTGAATAAAGAATCCTGCTTTGCATCCTGTTGCTCAGATTGTGCGAGGTATTGTTCATTTTACCATGTATACCATGTCTAAAAATGACCTGAATACTGTTTGACTTTTTAATGCAATAAAAGACTCTGTAAATGCTTTTCTACAAACAAAATAGGGTTTGAAGTAATTTCGTAAAATTTCGGATTCATGGCTATTATCACTATGTAGTAGAGAATCGGTTTATACGTAATCCTTAGTATATATAACTTTGTCTTTACTGCTAACACAACGTTTGTTGAGAGTCACTAATAGACATAAGGAAACAACGGAATTATTGCAATTATATTCTACAATTATAATAAGAAAATTTTAGGAATTGTTGTGCAGTTCAACGCTTACTAAATTATCTCTCTGAAATATCAGTAAGAACTTTATGTCATATTTTCACAGTAGTCAAACAACCCATCAATCTAATGCACTAAGAAAATACCATAATAACACTAAGCAGATAATCATTAATAAAAAGCAAACACTAACTTTAAGCATACTTTGCAAAGAATATTTCCACAAGCTTTCCAAATCTTGATGAATTGTCATTCCTGAGAGTAGTAGCATTTCCGAAACTTTCAAGGACTGGGGTGCTTTCCAAAACTCGTCTTGCTACAGAACTCAAACCATTTCTTCCTTGTTCACTGGTACATGCTAGATACTGTGTAATTCGTTTAAATGCTTCTGTTTTGCCTGACCCAGATTCACCGCTGGTTGATGAAAATCATAAGTTTGTTTAAAAATAAAAAGAAACATACAATACAATAAATGCTGTGAAACGAACAGTTAAAACAGGATTCACCGTTTTTTAATCATCATTAAGAGTGCTTCTATAGTCTTACTGTAAACTAAAAATTCTATAAGCTACTAGGATAATCAAGTTACTGCACCGAAAACACTGTATTTTTATATGTCACGGTTTTGAAAGACAGTCCAATATTTTGCCAGTAATTTGACCAAACATAAGGCGCTTTTTGCTTTTCTACCGTTCATAAAATCAGGAACAAAAACTGTTAAATAGCTTATTACTCTTGAGCAGAGGAAATTTTTAACTTTTCAAATGAAGGCAACGCTTACGATTCTTGACATGACTAATTTATCATACGAGGGAAGACTAGGCAGTTTAAATCTCTTCTCCCTATCATACCGTAGGCAGAGAGGAGATTTAATTAAAATGTTTAAAATTTTAAATAATGACTACGGATCTGACCTATTCTCTCTAACCTCCCCACCAGAGCGCAACACCTTAGAGGACAGCAGGAGAGTTCAAAAACCAAGGAGAAACCATATTGCTCTGGAGTTCCTGGTTCTCACACCGAGTCATAAACTCCTGGAACCGACTCCCAGAAGAATTGGTGTCTGCAACCTCAATTGATTCATCGATGAGGCGTTTGGACAAGCACCGAAATATACTAGAAAATGATTAACAGGCTCCAAGCCTTCTATCCTCAACTAATAAATCTGAATCTGAAATCAAAGTGTGTTTCCCACTAACTAAAATCAATATTTTATCCCAGACATCAATACCTGTTAAAGCAAATATTGAGAAGCGTTTTAGCTCTTTCGAAAGAAAATTATGTTAAACAACGGTATGACGCGAATTAGATTACTAAAACGTACGAACCTTATGACAACAATTTGATCACATTCATTTCTTACAGCTGCTTGGTAAAGTGTTTCAGCAAGCCCGTATAAATGTCTAAAACTATATCATCAAGGTGAGCTTACGCTGGGGCACTTGTTAGCATTCGGTTGAAATACTTCACCATTACTTCTGGCCCATCTATCAGAAGATCTTTATATGGATTAACAGAAATAACAATATTTCCAATGTATGTCTAAAAAAGAAAATAATTCATCCTGAAATTACGTATATTTTTGATCTTGAATAGCGCAGCTTCAAGGTTTCCAGCATCGAAATCGCAGACATATTCCTGAAGGAAGCAGTAAATTGTTTAGGTAAGCTGCCTACGGTAAGTTGACCATGTTATCCATATCTTCTACTGAGTATTTGGCCCCCTTCTGAATGCGAGCGTAAGGAACTCGCATGATTTTTTCCTGAACGCGAAATCATATTACTGTTATGTAAAATACCTCTTTGTCCATTACAATTTTAACATCCAACCCATCATTTTTCACATGCAAAACTTCCCCAAACAACTGAGATCCCTCATCAGTAAATGTTATAATATCACCCTAAAGGTCTAAATAAATCAACTCCATCTACCTTCTTAAAGTGTTCCATACTGAAGGGATTCTCGACAGTAAATAAACGATTTGAATTCGCACTGGTATACACACAATTATGATTGGTCTGCTTGATACATCCTGAAGGTCAAAATATAAAACCAAATGTGAAAAAAGAAAACAAACTGTTGTTTGATTGTGTTATTATGGTCTACTCCCTTAGCTTTATTTTTCTCTTAATTCTTGTTGAACAACTCTTAGAGGATCTCCCGACTTTCGGCTGATAACTGACACTATTCAAAGCAGTATATAGCTGAGAGCAACATGAAGAAAATATGAAATACCTAGGAAGCTTGGAGTTACTGAGTTTTATATAAAAATAATGTGTATCAGCAAAATTTAGTTGTTTCAATTTTCCGCATACAATCATATCCAACATCGTTTCCATAAGTTTGTACAAACCTTGGCCCTCGCTTCTTCATGCTTCGGAAAGCTTTCCAGTTCTAAGACGATTCCAGTAAGATCAATCCCTTCTACTGCTGTGGCTATGATCATTGCAGTAACAGGACATACATTATCTTGCCTTTAAGACAACCCATAACTTGTGCCATATCGGTAGCGCTGCCGTACCCCGGGTAACCATCCAGTTGGGTCAACAAAGATTCTAAAGAAACTGAGACAAAAGGTGATCAAGATTGGTCAGAAGAACAGAAAGGCAAGACAAACCAAGTGGCTGTAGGACAGCTAACACAGAGGTAGCAAAAATATTAAGCTCAAAAAATAATCCAATTATTAATACGGTCTCACTGATTGTTCTGCCTAATAAAATTACCTGATATGATGGCCAAAATAAAGTTACTAGTACCTTACTGTATGATAATGAACAAATGCTTAGACTTGCCATCGCCCTCTCATAGGGAACATGTGATATACCCCTAACTAGTTTTGTGACTTCCCTTACAGACTATTTCCAAGACTCCCATCTCCCAACAGAGATTAGCGGACTGTTTGAAGCATGCAGGTTTGCGTCTCACAAACACTTGGTAGAGCACCTCAGTCATATCGTTGTCCGAGTATCTGAAAGCCCTGCGACTCGCCTATGGTATTTGAATCTCCTTAGCTGCGGGTACATTACAGTCTATATCATTCAACATGCTGGAATTGGCAACTATTCCTATCCTTTCTCTTCTCAACATCAGGCAGTTCTATTCCCCAAAGGGGTAAGACAAGTAAGGTTACTGGCCTAAATAAACTCCTGCAGCCTTCCATCCGACACAGTTTTCGGCACAGAAATTACTCCGCTTACAATTATCTAAAGTCTACACTTCATTATTATTATATTATTATTGTTCCCTTGGGTTCCTAGTGGAACATAGGGCTTCAACTGCACGCCTCCACTTGCTTCTGTCTTGTGCTGTACTTTTCACTTCCATCCATGTTAATCCATACTGTTTCAACTCCTCTTCACACGATCTCCTCCATGTCACCCTTGGACGTCCCACTCGCCTCTTCCCTTTCGGGTCCCACTCGAGGGCCTGGCGCGCGATGTCACCCAACGGCCTCCTCAGCGAGTGTCCAATCCATCTCCACTTTCTCCTGCATATTTGTTGGGCGATTGGTTCCTGTTTTGTTTGTTCCCATAATTTCTTGTTTGTGATTCTTTCCGGCCATCTAATCTTCAGTATAGAACGAAAACAGTTGTTGATAAAGGTCTGCAGCCTGTTAAAAACATTCATACACTTCATTCACCACCCTAAAAAGAGACATCAGTACAGTTTCAGTTTGGAGGACTATATCCCTAGCTACCACTTCTCTGACAACAAACAAATAAAAATATCCTTACCAGGAGATCTATCCTTTATTATGATACCGATGATGTCTATTTGCACGACGGGACACCCAAAGGGAATATTCAGTGACAGTAGAACCGATCTGTTAATAACAAAAAAGAATTAGATAGGTGTGTAGCGGTAGGTAATTTCCCAGAATTATTGGCCACAGCATTCGTCAGTGAACATTGGATGCTGAACCTCACTGATTTACTACATTTTTGAATCTGGAGGCCACCGGTCAAGCATCCACGCCATTCGGTACGCCATCGTGTCACGTTCGTTCGTTCGTGCACGATCCCTAGCTATTTAAGTAATCATCTCGCACTCCGATTTGGTCCCGAAATATAATTCGTAATTTGGACGGTCAACTCTAGTGTTTTGCTTTACCTTCAGTCTGCGCGGAACGAATACTATAGAAGTTGTGGTTATAAGATCTTGCGTTAGTATACTTCGTACTCCGTTATCGTCAACACCCTCGGCTTCTAAAGGTGCTTAGGGGAATGGTAACATAACAGAATACACATCACTCTAGTCAGTGCAGATTGTCATTTCAACCCACCACCTGAAAACCATTAGGGTGGTGTTTGGGAGCATATAATTCGTACTGTAGGCAGGATTTATGTGGGCTTTTATTAATCAACAATCACTGAGCGATGAAAGCCCTATGAATTTATTCATGGGAGCTGAAGGTATTATAAATAACAGACCTCTGGTTTCACTCACTCCGGATGTTGAAGACTTTGAAATGTTAACACCCACTAAGCTACTGTTACTAAAGAGCAACTCAGTAGGTATTAGTACAACCCATCTTAGTTCTCCAAAAGGCGGGAGCAAGCCACCAACTTTACAGATGTGTTTTTGAAAAGCTGCTCCAAGGAATATGTCTCCTTAGAACAACGATACAAACTGATGGACATCAGTGGGAATGTGCAGGCCAGAGACTTAGTTATCTTGGTATCAGGCTTTAGTGCTGGGAGTCAGCGGCCACTTGGGCTTGTGCGACAGGCGATGCCTAAAGATGATTTAGCTAGACAAGTGAATGTTAACACGTCTAGCCGAGAAGTGATAAGGATATTAAGAAAGTTTGTCTTTGGGAAGCTAGTGATACCAGAGCTCATCTGAGTGGTATCTAGGCGCACTGGTAACAAAGGGCAGTATGTACTAGTTAAGCGTCTGTTTGCACAAGGTTGCTTGTATAGTTATAGAGAGTGTACTAGGCTTGTTCGTGAATTTCTCTCCTCTATTTGAAGTTTAGTGTGTGGGCATGCCGTGTAATCATTTACCTTGATAACTGAATATATTGTTGTAAATATTATCTTACAGATTGTTTGGAAAAGAAACTGACTTCCTTTTGGCGGGTATTATTACGTCTAATATTGCACCTTCAAACGCCAAGGTTGTAGCGTATGTCCCATTTGGGCCAATTAGACCACCTGTGATTCTTTGAGCTGTTGTACTTTTTTATTTGAGTGAACACTTTTGTTAATTGAGTGCCACTTTATATCAATTCATTGTATTGGTATTTGGATGCCATGATAACCCTAGATATTTGTAGGTTTGTATCATGTTTATCGGATACCTTTTGTTAAATAAAACAGTATTCTTGCAGCTCTTCAACATTTTGTTTTCAGTATAATTCTATTTGGAACCACTTGGTTTTTCCTTAAATTTTCTCAAAGATTGAGAATCTGTTTCTTCTGGGCGTAATTCATGCAGTGGCTGTAACGGTGACCTCTGAAAGGAAGGCAAGTAGCCAAGGACTAAACCTGATTCCGAGATCAACAGACTAAGCTGCTT